GAGTGGTATCCTGGCAATACCAGTGACTGCAACAAGTCTAGGACGTATGCACTACAACTTTTACTTTACCGAATACCCCGGCAGATTTTAAATAAACGCCTAACAAATATCAAATTTATACAGGAAGTCAGTAAGATTTAGCATACTAAAAGTACTTTCGGCTTCCACAGGAGTTCTTTATGGCGAATTTATTCCTTCAAGGGCCTGCACAGATTACAGCTTCAATTAAATGACATTGACTTGGAAGAAATTTCATTTTGTGCAGATGAAAAGAGACTTTCGACAGGCGTAGAAGAATGCGTTGACATCGCAGTTAATCTCCGCTGAAATTCTAATGGAAAGTTGCGTTATGGTAGACACTGATAAGGCAGTTTCTACCATCTTACATTAAGACGACACACAATGATTAATTATGTCACCTTGTAAGTTTTAAGTAGAGCGAATTTATAGTAAGGAAATAACACTAATTTCCATGTTATGGGCGCAGAAACTCGTATACCGCAACTCGTGTGAACTGCAAAGCTTCGTGAGTCTTTATATTTAATACAACGTTCGTGTCTTTTGTCAGGACTGTCATATCTGCTTAACGCAATAAATTAAATAAATAATTACGGAAAGTCGTATGAAACCCGAAGTCTACTGAGGACAGCAATAAGAAAAATTAAGCCAATGTAATCAGTTTATCAGACTGGAAAATGTATGTGGTTTTGTAAAAAAATATGTGGTTGATACGTCACAGTCTAATTTTTAATGACTCTGCACATAAATAAAAATTCGCTGCTCTCGCTTTTGGTTTTTGGTGGCAAAGGTATTCATTTGAACATTATTCTGCAAAAGCATACAAAAATGTTATTTGAAATTGTATTCAACTACCCTTAAGGCTGTTGTATTCAAAAATTAGGGGTATGTATGGTTTGTCCAGGTACATTTCCACACAACTTCATTGGGTAATCAAGTATGAATTTATTTATTTATTTCATTTTTGATTACAGCTTGATTCCACACTGTATTTTTGGTGCAAGTATGGAGTTTTCATCATGGATATCGGTAGCCCAAACTTTGCAGGTCGACCATAGATATCAGGTGTGCGTCGGCAGGGGATAGAACCTCGGACCATGTGCGTGGTCGGCGAGAGTCCTGACCACTGTGGCACCGACACACAGCAACTTAAATGATAACAAATATAGAGAAACGATACTCGAGCATCACATTTGTTGTTTTTGGTTTTAAGTTTCTGATTTAGGAGAATTGTATGACGTAGGTGCGCGAATTTATCTTCGGGTGAATTTGCCTGTTACACTCACAAAAAGACTAACTTCTTTTACCTAGGTCTTAATTAGTACTCTGACTATCCTGCAAGTACTGAGGAACGAGTGAAAAGCAGACATAAAAGGATTCGCAACGTGCCTGTTACCACAAGTATATTTATAATGAATGTGATTAGAATTTAATAATGTAAAAAGGTTTACAACTTATCTGTACCCAGAGGAGTAGCGAACTTGAAAAATGTGCTCATAGAAGAGCACTGCGAAGGAGCAAGCGTACAAGTGCTAAAATATACAGAAAGTAAAGTACAGTGAAGTGAAGTTCCGTATCGCCGAAAAAGAGATACTCCGAATTTGATGTGGTGTGCCACCATGAAATCAAGGAAACATGAAAAATGTTACTACTAGCTGTAATCATCCACTGGAAATAAAGTGAAAACTGCAGCATAGGGTAGAAAATTTGGTATCAGTCCCGTTGTTTATAAGTGACAGGTGCACTGAATTCTTATTGTGAGGCAAAGGAGGCCTAATGGTCAAAGAGAAAAAACAACACACACAACTCAACTCTCAAGAACTAAAGGCCCTCAAAAAGCTGAAAAATAGGAAGGACATCGTCATTTTACCAGCCGACAAAGGAAGAACAACAGTAGTCATGGACAGAGAAGAATACACCAAGAAAGCTGAAGAACTACTCAAAGATGAAGATGTATATCAACAACTCCCAACAAATCCCATACAAACATTGGACAACCGCATCCAAAGGACCTTAAACAAGCTCAGCAAAACTGGACAGATCACAAAACAAGACCAATGGCGAATGAAATCCAATGGACCAGTCCTACCTCGATTCTACGGCAGACCCAAAATACACAAGGCAAATATCCCGTTACGACCAATTGTATCACTCCCAGGAACTCCAACATATAATTTGTCCAAGGAATTATACAGAAAACTAAAACACCTAACGGAATCTTGTGATCACTCCATCAACTCTGCTATCCAATTCCTAGAGAAAATCAGAGACATCCAAATAGATGAACAAGAAATAATGGTATCCTTCGACGTGACAGCATTATATACCTCTATCGGACAAAAACTAGCAAAAGAAACCATGGAGCAATTACTTAGCAACGACGAACAACTTCCACAACAATCAAAAATGCAACACACAAGCTGGATGGAATGCATAAATCTATGCCTAACAACATACTTCCAATTCAACGGCCAAATATATGAACAAGTCAAAGGAACACCCATGGGATCGCCAATATCAGGTTTGATTGCAGAAGCAGTGATGCAAAGACTCGAAAACATAATTCTACCAAAGATCAAACCCAAGATTTGGATACGCTACGTCGACGACACATTTGTAATAATCAAAAGAAACGAATTAGACAAAACTCACAACTTAATAAACAACGTCTTCAACGACATCAAATTCACAAGAGAAGAGGAATCCGAGAACAAAATACCATTTTTGGACGTCTTAGTCAGGCGAACAACTACAGGAGAATTAGAAACTCAAGTTTATAGGAAATCAACTCACACAGACCAAATACTGAATTACAACAGCAACAACCCAATAGCACACAAAAGGAACTGCATACAAACACTATTCAAGAGAGCAAGGACTCACTGCAGCACTCCCACCTTAAGAAAAATTGAAGAAAAGTATCTCATGGACGTCTTCCAAAAGAATGGATATCCCGGAATTTCATCAAGAGACATATACCCCCAAGCCAACCTACCAAAACAAAAGCCACCAAGGAAAACACAAAGAAAATCGCCTTACCATATATAAAGGATATCTCAGAAATCACTAAAAGACTCTTCAAACCTTTAGGAATTGACGTCGTACACAAACCAACAAAGTCGCTGCACTCAATTCTATGTCAACCAAAAGACTCAACAGCGAAAGAAGACAAAACCAACATCATCTACAAAATAAACTGTAACAACTGCGAAAAACACTACATTGGCCAAAGTGGACGTCCCCTTCGTCTTCGTATCCACGAACATAAGCTAGCCGTCAAAAGACATGATATACACTCCCTCATTTCACTACACACAGACAACCACGGACATCAATTCGACTGGGACAACGTTCAAATATTAGACAAAGGAAATAACAAGAATGCTAGAGAATTTTTAGAAGCTTGGCATTCCAGTGAATCATCAATCAATAGACACATCGAGATAGACAAAATTTATCAACCAATAAGAAAGAAACTTCACACACAAAGGGTCAAAGTTCAAGTCACAGAAACAATCAGTTCCAATACAAGTAACCTAGAAGGTGTGAAAACACACATAAACAACCAATCACGTCCAAGGTCACCAGGAGGAATGATTAATAAACTCGTGGAGAAACCTAAAAGCTCACTTCAAATTGAAGTATGCGCTGAAGATGTCACCCAGTAAGGTGATGAAAGCTTCGCAAACTAACCATCCAGCTCAGAGGACAAAACCACATCAAAATCATCCACCTGAGCCAGAAACCTTCTGTATCATATTTATTTAATATGAAGACTCACGAAGCTTCGCAGTTCACACGAGTTGCGGTATACGAGTTTCTGCGCCCATAACATGGAAATTAGTGTTATTTCCTTACTATAAATTCGCTCTACTTAAAACTTACAAGGTGACATAATTAATCATTGTGTGTCGTCTTAATGTAAGATGGTAGAAACTGCCTTATCAGTGTCTACCATAACGCAACTTTCCATTAGAATTTCAGCGGAGATTAACTGCGATGTCAACGCATTCTTCTACGCCTGTCGAAAGTCTCTTTTCATCTGCACAAGAGAATAATTGTCATAGAAAGACACAAAAACGATGAAAATTGAGGCCGTTTGGGGCGAAAGACAGCTGATGTTCTCTCGTGAACAGTGAATAATCGAGATGAGAACCTGTGAAATGGAATGATGTCATATTACACTGCGAATTGCGTCTTTTTTTTATCGAAATTTATCAAGGGAACCAAATGTATGAAATATGTTAATCACTGAATTTTGATGGTAATTTCCGCAAACTACAGTGAAACTGGCCGTCCATTCCTATTACTTATCCAAGAGATGTTAATCTGTAGTGAAAACTACTTTCGGATAAGCCTCCCGTGGTGTATAAACTCTTGACTTTCTTTTCTCAGTATCACTTAATAGTTGTAGTGTCCTTTTAGAGAATACTTATTTAATACCCTCGTATGGAAAATGACTGAATCCAGAAAATTCTGTCCAAAGTTACCGTTTTGTTGTCGTGGTGGTCATTATACAATCTGATATTTTGAGACTTTGAGAGTACTTTAAAGACTGTATATTTCAAGTTTAATGAGTGCTTATATCAGTAAGATAGAGTGCATAATTAAAATGTTTCGGGGATTAAATAATTCTCGGGTTTCTAGTTTCTGCTGTTTTGTACTTCATTATCCTAACTGTTGTGAGGCTTTTTTTTAAAGTAAATTACAGTAGACTTTTTTGCATGAAAACATTTTACCACTTTTAATTATTTACATATTTATTTGTTGTTTTTTTGTTTGTTTATGTTTTCAGTTATCAAAGTCTACAGAAAATACTGCACCGCATATCCCTAGTTATCCTGTTGTCCCCAACAGACAGTATAGATAAATGAAAATCCACGCTTTTTTGTATTTTCGTCTTTTTAGTTGTTAGTCTTTTTTACAATTAAAATTAAAACACCGTATCGCTTGAATTGACCCCCATTGTTGATCTTCTTTACTTATTGTATAATTTTACTGACACTAGAAATGATTAATGAGAAAAATATGCTATATGCTAATAAAACTTACCATTGTCTCATTGAATTTTTAATTCGTTGACATGCTAGATAAAATAATAAAATGGAAAAATCAAAGGTTTTTTTCACAGCTGGAGCAGGTAAATGTCTAGTTCAGGATGTGTTAAAAGTGATCATGATCGGTATCAATTATATCTTGAGAGAGAGATAGGTATGTGGTGAGAGCAGCCTGCTAGCCAATTGGTTGACATTAATCTATGTCAATGTCTAGGTCACTAATATGGGCCGTGAGAAAATATGAACGAGGTTGTTTCAACAACCAATCACAGCAAACTTAAACGTGGGCAAATATGATTCGCAGATAGATGGCTCCAATTTCCGAGGAACTCAAAAACAACCAATCAGAAGACTGCGTTTGTCTACTTGACTAGGCTATAATAATGTATGTGAAATTTATATAAATACGTGTTGATTTCCGTAATAAAACGATCTGTTCCCTGGCCCTTGTCTTCTGTTGTTACAGGTAGACATCTTAAGTTTTCGTCTTGGTAGATGGTTGGTAGCGATTGGCTGGAGTGTGGGGAAGCGCGGAGTATGCAACCCCCCCAAGTCAACGAACTTTAGCTTTCAATTCTACTCTATCTTGAGTCATAAGAAAAAGGTACAAACAGAGAAAATTTTCTTTTCGACGATTCATTTTCATGAGCTGTACAATCGTAATTATAATTAACACAGAAGTTTTTTGACCAATCAGATACTAGTAAACTTTGTCTCTGAAAATTCTACTACATAATGTGAGGTGTAAGAAGGGATGACTAATCCTAAGTTAGAAAGGAGACAGAAGTTGACATGACCTAATAAGTGTGAGATAATGACTAATCAATAAGCTAGTGTAGAATGGACAGGAACTAGTGGAAAGGCTAAAAAGTAGTTTTGTATAAGATGTGTGAAAAAGCAATGTTATTAATAAACAGTAATATAGTGGTAATAAAATATGGATGGTGGGAATAGTAATAATAATAAAAGTATTAAGAACAGTAATAATGATAGTAATAGTGAACTTACATATTAAAAGAGAGGAGCAAAATTATGGTAAGAAATTAACTCTGGTCATTGTAGGGCCAGAGAAGGTATGTATCGTTTTTGTATGCACAGGTCAGGTTTCAGGTCTCGAATAGCTAATGCCTCAGCTATGTACAGATGTCGTATCCGGAGTCCTTTTGTACGATATTGAGGGATTCTGTGTACCACTGTGAAGCATTCATGTGGAGGTGCTCGATGTCCGGAGCTGACAAGGTGTTCGAGGATTGAGCTGTTGCTATTCTTCTTTTCTCCTCTGGCTAACCAAGCTGGGCAGTGTTCCAGGATACGTTTGTGGACTTGACGTTGCGTACGGCCGATATACTTTGCTCCACATGAGCAAGTAAATTTCGTAAAATCCACATATCACCAAAATTAAGATGTCTCTTTTTAGCTACTTAACTTGAACACTGTTTGTGAAGACTGAGAAATATATATCAATATACATTATAATAGAGGTTTTTGTATTTCCCAATTAATGAAAACAAAACGAGATTGTTTTTACTGACGTTTCGCTATTTAATGCTAATAGCTTTCTCAAAGTATTATTATTATATCAATATAGTTGAAGGAGAATAATATTTTGATAACAGAAATGTTTTTGAGAACTTCCAGCTTCTTTTTATTATCATCATCATCTAATAATGCTGAGTAGTTCATTAGACGTTACCAAGTTCTGAAGGGAAGTTGACGTAAAAGCAGAGGAGTGTAGACCATTTGTTCTCAATTATGTGCGCGAGTGGCAAATGATTGACTTCAAATTTTGATGACCATGAGCTCTTAACAATACATGAACTCATTGATGTGTGGATTGCTGAAAAGTTTCAAGGTAAGTTCAACAGTGTTCTGTATTCAATGTCAATCTGTGGTGAAAATAATTTTGAAACAAATCAAATTCTCAAAAGAATGGATACTGAACAAAGAATACTCCTTTCGATGACTTCATCATCAAGCTCTACATTATAGTGAATGAATGAATTAGTGTTATGAACGACATTAATGTTTCAATAACATCGAATCAATAATATTGATAGATTACAGCTGAATCGCATCAACATAAAATAAGCTGAATGTCAGAAGAATTAGGAAGGATAATAGTACAAATTCATGAGTTTATAGTTTCTACTGAAGGCCAGGGCAATAGTAGGGGCTGGGCTTGCTTCTTTTGGATACAGAGCGCTGGTTGTTTGAGGCAAATCGCAATAGCCTTTGCTGTTTGGAGCCTGCGGTGCTTCGATGTTTTCGACAGTTTATTTAGCACCCGGTATAATATAGAGAAGGATTCATCTACGCTGGCTTTGTGGCCGGTTTGCACCAGATGTTCCAATATCGAGCTTTTAATAGTTTTCACTACACCTTTACTTAGCTCTGCTGGGAGATGTTCTCGAGCACGAGCATTACAATTGATCGGCTATCAAAATTTATCTCTGCTTGGCGGTTAATTTCAATGTTTGACCTCTACTCCCTCAACAAGAATTTTATTCTTCCAGTTTCTCATCAGCAAAACGTGATGAGTTGTGCTTTGTAAATACTCACGTGTGTATTGTGCACCTAACTTCAAACTAAAATGAAGAGCTACTTGTCATCAATGGACTTTGAACTCCACAGAGTGTGTATTACAATTGGAGTACAATTGTAATAATTCCAGATATAGTAGATACAGTAAATTTTTTAATGAAATTGATTATACTTACCTCTCTGCTGAATTGATTTTTGCATATATGCAACAAGTTCCATTCTAGCGATGTGTGCAGAAATTGACAAGCCTAAATTTTGATATCCTTTCCTAGCCAATGTTTCATATCGGCAATGAAGCCTTTTGCGTATTTCTTGTCCAATATCTGTTAGTGATGAAGGTTGGAATGTCTTTCGTTGTTGCTCCAAATTGATCTGTGATAATCTTGGTAGTTCATGTGTCGTAGCTTCTTCCCTGCATATGTATATGATAAAGAATAACACAATAATAACATTATATTAATCTGACAGTTTGTGTTATCGATCATTGTACGCCTTAAGGAAGGAAGTATCATTTTATCAATCCACTTTCAAACCTCTATGGTAGTTAACAAAATTGATTTTTATTCACCTTTTACTTCTAAGATTTTTGTGTAAATGTCCGGTGTGAATTACCATCCAATTTTTAATTGGTATTTAATGTTTGTTATTCAAAGTTGCAAAGATGTTTTCTGTGTAATGTGAAATTTAGCATAGTGTATGGATCCGTCCGTCTCCACTTAGATCCTTTTCAAAAATGTATTCTCAACAGTGTTTACCTTTCGTTCCGCTTTGTTACTCTTTTTTTTGTATTCCTGTTTTTTTTCGATGCCTATGAACAGAATCGTGTTTTTGTTGATCGTCTTCATTTAGATTTGATTTTATCTTACGGGTAGTATTAGCGAGTGGTTTTCAGTTTTATATGCTTGAAGCTATTGTCTGAATACTGTCCTTATTTGTTTTGTTAGCTGACCGGTTTTTTTTACACATGTTTGTCTTCACGGTTAAGAGATTACAAGTTGCAAATGATTGCCTCGAAAAACGCGCGCCTTTCTTCCATGTTTAAACTAAATGTTGTAAATAATGGTCGCCGAAGTTGGAAGTGATAGCCCATTGGATTCCATCCCAGTGACCGAGTATTATGGAAGTTCGACTTGTAACCTGTAGGTCCTGGGTCCGATCCCTAGTGGGATCAAGGGTGCGTACTGTGAGGAGTCGTAGGCAAGGACGAAACAACCATCCAGTACCCTCTGGTTTTCAGTAGTTCTCTAACTGAAGTTATTTCGTGATCAAAACTGAAATAATAGTTTGTTAGTCATCAGTAGGATTTCCTTCATAAATTCAGAATATATTTTACTAGTTTCAAATAAAGAATATATGACACTTAAAAGCATTAGTGGTTAGTGTTAAGATGGGGGGAGACATTTGTATGTTTTCCAGCATGATATGTAAACTAGACATTTGACCCTGACTTAGGTTAAAGGTCGTGTAATTGTATTAGTTCACAGGTGGTTTCCAACATGAGTGTGATGAGCTGCCTGGGTCTCGACAGGAATGGAGAAGTTAATAAATAAATACATTTCAGGTTTCTTAAAATTTGTTGTATAACTTCACACAGAAGTGCAGCAATTCAACAACAATTAGGCCGAGAATAATGAGAATTTAATGGATCTACGACATTATAATGAGTGAGTGAGTCTACACCATTGCGAATAATTTAGAGCGATATCACCAACATTCTCAAGCCATTCGTTTTTATTGTCTTGAGTTGAGGAGCTCAACCAGAAAGTTTTTATCTCCCTACCTGGCTTAAACCTACAGTTGAAGATTTCATGGATTGATGCCAGGTTTCGATCTAATCATCCATAACCTTTTTCTAATATAATTTAATATTAGCTAACGTTAGTATACAATTGGTGGATGGTGGCTAGCAGTGGAATCCAGGATGCGCATTTCGTCCTAATTGAGACTCGTCAGCTGGATGTACCTGCATTTCTCAGCGAGTGATGATGTTCCCACCGAGGCTCGAACCCAGTACCCATAGTTTCGAACGCCAAAGAGTTATCCAGTAGACCACTTGGGCCACGAGAGCCACCTCTTGTGCAACGGGTCATATTAATTATTGAATTGAATTTTTGATTTTCCCGTCGATTGATTGGACCGAAGTGCTCGGTCTAGTGGATAACGCTTTGGCGTTTGAAACTATGGGTATTGGGTTCGGGCCTCGGTGGGAACATCATCACTCACTGAGAAATGCAGGTACATCCAGCTGACGAGTCTCAAATAGGACGAAATGCGCATTCTGGATTCCACTGCTAACCACCATCCACCAATTGTATACTAATTAAATACCCAGACACCGTCGAAGCATCTGCACAAGAAGCCGACATGTCAACCTGAGACCGAGCACTTCGGTCCAATCAATCGACGGGAAAATCAAAAATTCAATTCAATAATTAGCTAACGTTACTCAATGTAGAAGGTGGTGGTTGGCGTGTGTAATACGTCTCCTGGCCATCTGTCACAATTCTATCGACTAGTCTTCCCTCCTTACTTTACGTCTAACCTCGATATTACTCATCATGTTTTGTCACATAACACAGCAGGCTACTCAAACATCTATGATCATAGACAGCTAGACTATTCAATTCTTTCAACGGTCGAGTTTCATAGATATAAAAGAAAGCAAACTGCTGCAGAGTAAATACATCCTTTGGTCAATAGCTAGATATCAGGTCTGTTCCAAAGATAACGTAATTTGGCAAATGCCGTGCGAACCTTGTGTTTCGTTAGTGGTCAGCCCATTTGTGCTGATGCGACTCCTTAAGTAAGTGAATTGATCAGCATACTCAACCGTTTCAGTTCTCATCTTTAAACTGAGAGTCAGTGCAGACTAGTTCTACATTTGGCGGAAACTAATTGCCTGCCGAACATACCATGATTTCTGCTCAAGGTGTTTAGCATTTTTATCTAGAAGGGCAATATCATTTGCATGTTTTAAATCGACAAGACTGTTGCCCTAGTGATAAGCCACTCCTTAAGTCAATCACCTCGTTTAGAGTCATAGCCATTAGTGCATCTATGATTAAACTAAATAAAAAGGAAGACATCAGACATTCCAATGGTTGTCATTTTTTGGGGTGACAACTCTCCCTAAGCTCTTACAGGGTTGCGTGAGTTCGAGTATCTTGATCACTGGGCTGTACTTCCTTGACACCCGCTTCATTGTTGGACATGACCACAGTACCTCTCCGTTGACGGAAGTTAAATGTCGTCTTCAGTTAAAAACTATGCTAAGTGTTGGACACCGATGACGTTTTTTGAATATTTCTGTAAATTATCCTAAAGTTTTCTTAGTCTATTCCTAGTTAAGTCACATCTCATTCATAATTAAGGCAGTGTGACTTGAACTGGATTGTGTGAGGAACATATCTATATAAACGAGTTTTTCTGAATCATATCTAATATGTCACAACAGAATGGTGTTAATTGACATAACAGTGATACAATATTATCTATTTAGTAATGATTTTTAGGGAACAGTTTATTGCTCATAGCCATACTCAGGTGCTCACGTGACTTTCAGATTCTGTTTATGTGTTTCTCTTGTTTCTTTTCTTCGGATTTTATTGCTAATAACATTTATTTTCTCTGTATCTCCGGCATTGATGGTGCGCCGTTTCTGTTCAAAGCGTTCGGTGTAGATTTGATGAACAAAGATTCAGGGGTCAATTTTTTCTCCACCTACCTTTATTACGTTTAAGAACTATGGCTGTATCCAACCTTATCTCGTGGGTGTATATTAGTACGTGCATTGCAGTGACTAAGTTTTTCTTTAAGTTGGCCATTTTTTGTGCCAATTGTTCTACATGCACCGAAATCCTTATTTCCCCAAATGACCTATATGACCCGAATCTACTGGACTGACGCATGTGGTTGGCCTCATAGTCATTGCAATGTATTTTGTAGATTAGGTTATTTTGTCTAATCGTGTCAGTAAGATCTTTCTGCCTGTAGAGTTTGTCCCTTAGTGAGTTTGTAGATTTGAATGCTTCCCTAGTTCCCATTTTATTAAGAATCATACTTAGCGTTTCGGATATACGGCAGCACCGTGGATGTTTTAAGTCCCTTCTTTCTATGTTCCGCTAATGTTTATTCCTTTCATCAGATTTCCTGAACTTCTTAATACATTCTGTGGAATAGTTGTTTGACGAAAATTCTTTCTGCAAGCATTTTTATTTCTTTTAGAGGATAATAAAAACTAGTAAATCGCATGCAAAAGATGACTTTTTTGGTCGGCTGACAAATTGTTATCAATGGCTTATTTTGACGAAGCTTATTGCGTGCACCTGTTCCTGAATAAATGTATATAGTTGGATGAACTTTGAAGTAAAACAGTTTACTTCGCTGTCAGAATGACTCTTCTATACTTTAGAAAGCCTTTGACTTATCACCCGTTTTTGGTTTTAAATGGTGTATAGAAACTTGTCCTTTGTTTAAAATTGTTTTATAGAACTCGGTGTAAATCACCCGTAAAATGCAATGCTGAGGTTAAAGCTGTTATTTTGGTAATCAACTTGGATGAAGTCTAAAGTATCCAGCCAGTTCATCTCGCAGATTGTAGCGCTAACGTCGGGTTTTCTGTCGCTGGTGATTTCTTTAAAAATTTACCAAAGCCCACGGTCATTGTTGGAGGTGAATTTATCAACATCAAATCTTGACCTTTTAACCATCAAATCTCATGCTGACAATGATTATCTTTTATAAATTTGAACAAGGAAAGAAGAAACATTGGCGCAGAATAATCTGGATCCATTTTATTTCGTTGGTTCTCATCAGCTGTATACAACCTGAATTTTTCAATAAAATAAAGAGTGTACAATTTTAACAAATCTTTGTCCATTAGCAAGCATACTGTCAGAGTGTCCTAGTAAAATAAGGCATTGCGATTTACAGGGTGTCTAGAAGTGTTACGACATATATATATATATATCTTGTTAGAGATAAGTTTCTTGAAAAAATAATTAACTAACAGTTGTGTTGTTGGGGTGGTAACAAAAGACAATTAGTAACAGTTAAGTAATTAGATAAGAGAAGATCAAAATTTTACAATTTCGGTGTACATGAGGTCAGATGAGAAGATGATGATGTAATACAGTGAGCAGAACTCAGAAAATCAAGAAAAATGATCTCTTAAGAGGGTCAAGCGAAAAATAATAAAGGGGGAGGGTCGAGTGACAAGATAAGTTAACAAAATTAGAAAACAAAGAGTTACTAAGAAGTGAGCCACCAGGGTAATTGAAGTCCAACAACGGATTCTTTTTGGACACATAAATCAGGCCTCAATCGTTTTATTGCTATAGTGCAGTCAATTATTGACAAGTACCCGTCACATGTTACCTCCAACTGTGTATACCAATTGACATATTATTATTATTATTATTATTATTGTATCCTTTAGTTCCTAGAGGAACATCAAATAATAAATAATGATAATGTGGTAAATGTTTTGATCGTAGTTAATAACGATGATTATTATGATAACAAAATATTGATAATAAGGTTTATGCAGGTGGTGATAAGAATAACAAAGGTAGTAATATATGCATATCTAGACAGTTCAATAAATAAATTAGGTCAAATCTTGAAAGTTACGTAATACTAAAGGCGAAGTGGACAGATATTCAGAATTTAAACATTGTTCGCTTATATGTCTTGTTCTAATATTAAAAATGGGAATATTTAAAGATGTGAAATCAATTCACATGTATCTGCGGGAGCAGTTACTTTGGAATAACAGAGAGCAGGGCCTACGTCAGATTCTGCGAACATGTACCAAGGAGCCTCCGGTTAAAGAGACCGAACTGTTTAAGCTCTTCAGTCGCCAAACACCTGACTAATACAGGACACTAAGTAGATGTGCTGGAATCATTCTAAATAATTAACAGACAAAGTACCTCAAGTCTTCTCAGGTTTACTGAGGCTATAGCAATAAAACGATTGAGGCCTGATTTATGTGTCCAAAAAGAATCCGTTGTTGGACTTCAATTACCCTGGTGGCTCACTTCTTAGTAACTCTTTGTTTTCTAATTTTGTTAACTTATCTTGTCACTCGACCCTCCCCCTTTATTATTTTTCGCTTGACCCTCTTAAGAGATCATTTTTCTTGATTTTCTGAGTTCTGCTCACTGTATTACATCATCATCTTCTCATCTGACCTCATGTACACCGAAATTGTAAAATTTTGATCTTCTCTTATCTAATTACTTAACTGTTACTAATTGTCTTTTGTTACCACCCCAACAACACAACTGTTAGTTAATTATTTTTTCAAGAAACTTATCTCTAACAAGATATATATATATATATGTCGTAACACTTCTAGACACCCTGTAAATCGCAATGCCTTATTTTACTAGGACACTCTGACAGTATGCTTGCTAATGGACAAAGATTTGTTAAAATTGTACACTCTTTATTTTATTGAAAAATTCAGGTTGTATACAGCTGATGAGAACCAACGAAATAAAATGGATCCAGATTATTCTGCGCCAATGTTTCTTCTTTCTTTGTTCAAATCTCATTGTTTTTGCATCAATGTTTAACCATATACTGAGTAGTTTTCACCTGATAATGTCGCTATCTGGTTTCAAGTGTTTTGATTGAGATCTATTAGTCAGGTGTTCAATGTAGTCGTGAAATGGGGTAATATAACATTTTTGTGCATTGTAAGTCGACGATAAATTAAGGAAAAGTCGATTGACATCTAAATGTTGATATTTATCAGGATGGTATATTTATGCTACCTTCATGATTTTTATATTTCACGTATTGAAGACTTGCATACAACTTTCTAACTCCTTCCTGTTTTTATCTAGTAAAATTTTTTACATCTCTACCATACTTATGGCATGGGTGTGGCGTTGATTCAGTGAGTAAAGGTTTAATAACCAACCTCTTTCAACACTCAACTATATTATTTTTCCTCACTTTGTAATATAGTTGAGTTACTGTATACATAGCACTAGTAGAGTTTTTCTCAAGATTATCTCTCTTCACCTGGTCCACTAAATTAGCTTTTATAACGTGACTGATCGAGCTCGATTGATGTGGTCTCTGTAGTTGATCTCATTGTCATTGCATAGTACCTGATTATTTGAATGTCATTGTAATCATTGTCTCACTAGAAATTATCCTTATATCTTCTTTATTTGTATTATTATTTTATCCCTTTTCGTCCTGAGTGGAACACAAGGCTTCGAGCCTCTTGAGCCTTAAAGTTTCAGTAGCATTGGTTTAATTTTTTTCGATAAAGAAAGGAAGACGAAATTTGCAGTATGGGGTGGGGATGATAGCCTCATGCCCATCCTTCTTTCTTTACCGGCCTTACTATCGGCCTAACGAGGTTTAGTAGTGCGTCGGTCGAGGTTCGAACCCAGAACCATATGCGTTGTTGGCCAGCATTCCACCGCTGGACCGTCAATGCATATGTCTTCTAATATTCCTCTTTCAAATGCTAATATTTACAGAAGGCTTGAAATCTCTTCGTCCACTGTTACTTTCACTGTTGTGATTTCCTAGAGGTGGTTTTAGCGAACAGATACTCAGTTGTGCTGAGTAGTGGTGCTACTCAATTTTTTTGGCTTGATACTAGTCGAGTTTCCTGTTCTACTACTTAAATGCGTATATGTCTGCATATGTCTACCTTAATTGATATGAGGTAAAAAATGTATAAAGTCTGAATATCTGTTATGGTGTTTTGGTATTTCGTAAACGCTAGTGTGTACATCCTTCTCTTGTCTTCATCTTATTTCCCAGCAGAACATTTCTAATTCTCCAGAGTAATTTCCTAATCTAGAAATAAACCGAAAACTCAATAAATACCCTAAAAATAAACCAATGTCTGTAATGAATAGACGAAAAGTACTGTTATAAATAAACTTGGAAAGTAAAAAACAGTAGAACTATGAAGACATGATCAGAATGTTACATGAGAACATCAGCATGATTAGAAATAGTCGACTGTAGCGGAAGTTTAAATATTAATTCATCAATTTATGGTATATAGAGCAATGGAGACAATTTATTGTCACTGACTACTTATTTGAGCATTATGAGACTGCACAGGAATGCAGTACCCTTGTGTATTGACAACTGACTGAACATTAGTCGTGTGAGTTATACTACCTTAGCTTACTGATAACGAGATTAAACTCATGTATCGTTTGTTCATTGGGAATTCTGAAGTCCATTCGCATATAATCGACAGGTTTAGAATTGAAGGAAATTTTCTTCATGATTCAGTGGGTATTATAGGTAAAGAATTACCATTTTCTTATCCTCTGAAGTCCACCGTTTGTATACATGAGCCTAGTGAATAATTCTGTGACGTAATTAAAGTTGAACGAAACTTCACTGGCAATAGATAATTTTTTCTGACTGTGGTTTCACTGTGATATTTGTGTGGAAAATAGACTTTTTTTAAAATTAGGAAGAATGATTAGGAATAGGACAAGTTAATTTGATTGGACACTAGGAACTGATGTGATGTGTCTAGTCCTTTCTGACGAAGGCCAACTAGCACGAAACCAAGGCTTCTGCCGATTGCCTCCAACTATCTAAGAACAAGTTAACGTTTAGCATGTGAAGATTACTAAGAAGTGAACGACTTTTCATTAATACAGTCGATTTTGTGTATTCTAGAGTTTCAAAACACCACACCCCTACCTTCTGATGGCATTTACTAAGTAACATATCCAGTCTTTATCAGGTCTATTTTAATTTTTTCTGTGTCAGTGTACTTAATTCCTTCTCTTATTCAAACTAAAGATTGATTTCAGAGTAAAGAGCTAGTTAGTACACACCGTTGAAGACAGTCATGAATTCTCTGGACTGGTTTTCATTTCTTTGTCTTCTGTTTTTCTACCGTCCAGTTGATGTGTAAATATGAGGTGTGATAACTTGATAACCATGAGTCAGGAGTGTTTGTTTCTATACTGGTAGCGTCGTTTGTCTGTAGAATGCTTTCGTGATGCAAAAGACTGGTTGTTAAACTAATGCTTTCAGTCATTGTAATTTAACTTTATTCGGAAACGCATTTATAGTAAAACATAAATTTGCATATATGACTTTCATCCGTATTCTTCACCTCATCAATACTGAGAAATAAATGTCTACAGAAAACTTTTTTTTATCCGTTTTTAATCAACAAAACTCACATATGTTTTGCATCTCGAGCTTTCTGAGCAGCTTGTAGCAATAGCTTTTCAAATAGTTTAATTGTTTCTAGTGTGGGAATTTCACTTTTGATTTCGATAAGTAAACGAGTTAGCTGTTGTGGGTGTAGTATGTACTTTAGATGACTCACAGCTATTTGTAAATCATTACGAAATTGCTTCATTTTGTTAGGCGAAGGTTCTTTTAGCTTTTTCATTTTAATCATTGAACCATGTGATCTAGTGGGAATCATTGGCGGCAAGCTAGATGTATCCTTCTCTTGAATTTTGATTCCTGTAGAAAGGGAATTGCCAAGATCTTCATATAATCTTTGTTCCAACCATTTTGGTATTCGAAATTTTCCTTTAAAATCAAAAGTTGCTCCCGTATACCGATACTGGAATATTTTCTCATAACTTTCTATTGATTCACTGTCTAGTTTTTCTATTTCAGAAGTTGTTTGTTCTGACTGTTCATCTACTTTATACGGTGTTTTTGATGATGATAATAATGCTTTACGATTTTTACGTGTTTGTGTTTTAATCATTCCTTCTGTTGATGACAGCGGGACAGGTTTTGATGCCAGTATTCTATCAAACCATGTCCACACACCGATTGTTTTCTTTTCAGAATCTTTTTGATAAGTGAACTTCAAGGTTTGAATGTCTGGCCAAAGTGTATGCTTTGCCTCATCATCGCTTAGTGTTTTATACATTCCATGAATCTTATGTTGAGCAACACGATAACTTTCAGGCGATACAATTTGGGGTACTTGTTGAAAACGGGGAGTAGGTGTCCTAATTTGAATATTTGAAATAGTGGAAGGAGTTTCCATTTTACTTTCTGATTCTTCTAGATTAATCCCACTGTGGGGAATAAATTCCATTTTATGCCAACCACCCTTTTTTAATCCTGCGTATGTATGTTCTTCTACTTCTTGTGTTGGAGTTGATTCACTCATTGATTTGGGTTCTAAACCCATCAATCCAACTGGTTTATGAGTAGTATCTTGTGTAAATTTTACATGAGGAGAATGTTTACTTGATTCTATAGGTGATAAAGACTGAGTGACTTTTGCTCTTTTTCCTAACATTCTTCTTTTAGGAGGTTTCTGTGCAAATCGGACAGCGAATGATGTCGGCTGTATTGGAACAGATTGTGTAGGTGCTCTGGCAATAATAAAAGGTAAATGACTTCCAGTTACCATCATTGCTCCTAGATGACTTCTGACAGGGAAAATTGTTGTATCATCAAATATGTTCTCTGTCGCACTTTCTGAAATATATTGCTTGCCTTTCATTCGTATTCGAGAGTCATCTTCAATTTCTTCACCTAACGAAAATAATGGCATTTTTATGATGCCAATTTCTTTTTTTTGTATGCCTTCAGGTGTAGTCTGTTTCCCACTGATTTGAATTTTAGTCGTTTCATACGCCATTATATCTCTTTGATTTGCAAAGGAAAAGAAAAGAAGAAACAAAAAAGACACAGTAATTATGGATGCAAATTTATGAGGCACAGTCATAATTTGACAGATTAATTAAAAGGAGAGGTGGCGTTTTAAGTTGAAAGGAAGAAAGTCTAATTCTACGACAGGATGTCGATGGTGGCTAGTTTAAATCCTACCACCGGCTTAGGCTTTCTTTCCAACCGAAATTATCATTCAAGTGTTGGTTTGTAGGGATTTGATTGGCTACAGGATTTCATCATGAGCTGACATTGGTTAGAGAACCATTGATTAACCAGGGGACACTGGACAGCTGTTTCTTCCTAGTTTGGGACTCTTCATCAGTACCCACCCACCGCGATTCGAACCCAGGACCATATGGTTACAAGGCGAGCTCGTATACCACTAAGCCACTGGGACCCGATCCAATGGCCCTTGAATTCTAACCTCTGTCAATTCACGACACAGAGCGACCCCTAGCCAATGTCTTCGGAGAGTATTTGTCCTCACACCCGATCTGCTGCACCCTACTGGTCACGACTTCTCACTAGAACCCCAGGTAACTAACTAACTAACTAACCCCAGGACGAAACAGCTGTCCAGTACTCCCAGGTTTTCTAATGGTTCTCTAACTAATGTCAGCTCATGATGAAATCCTGTAACGAAATTATCATTCCTATACAAAAACATAATAGTGGCGACATAGAAGAAAGTAAATTTACCGAAATGTTAATTAGGAATGATTATCAACTTTGAAAATAAAAATAATAGGACAAACTTTTCATGTATGATACAGCCATTTATTATCTTCATTCTAGAATGTCAGCATAGCAAATGCCAGTAGACGTAATCTAATATTTTGCTGTCTTTATTTGAATATGATATTTCGACTTATATTCTGGCTTGTTTCTGTCTGATAAACACTGTCATCTTAAAAATCAATTGAATTATCGTGTTTTATTTGTGTTTTTCTCTCTTTCTGGTTTTGTTGTAGAGGTTAAATCCACATCTTCGATATTTAACAATTGACTATATTCAATCACTACACTTGCAATGGACGTAATCTATCTTATTACCCGACAAGTAAATTCTATCTAATCTCTTTTTTTCTGTCTCTTCATTAGTATTATTTTGTCTTCTCAATTGTCATATTTTACCTTTTCAACCTTCTTGTTCTCTACCCGCACCCGATTAAATTTCTACACCTCACTACCACTGTTACTGACTTGACCAACGCTCAATTTCTAGTCATTTATGTTACGTCATCCAACTTATTTGCTCAATTTCAGTTCTAATTTAAATGGAATTATTCTCCAACCCACTTCTACTTAGTCTCTACCTGTAATCACCTCTGTTGCTACCCTGAAACATTTTAGTCAATTATATTACGTCATCTAACTTACTAACTCAATCTTACTTTAGTTGTTGTCTAAATAACCTTGCTTCTACATTAGATCATTCTTGTATTACCTGATCAATTATCTAAACTTGACAAACCCCATGTACGCACACACACAAATAATTATATATAAATGCGATTGTACAGCTATGTGAATGAATTCGCCGAAAAGAGTCTCTTCGCAGAACATCTTCTCTTTTTCATATGACTCAATGGGGATTTTTAAGCTATTTCACAAGATACCAAATCACTTGTTGCAGGATTAAGATTTTGTGTTATGTACACTTACGAAGTTATTTCAATCAAAATCATGAAACGTGAGCTGTGTATGCATAGACAACCATCCATCACCACTTACCCTAAAATATTACATAATTCAGTTCTCTAGTGAACTTAGAGTGCGTTTGTTGTTCACGGATAGAATGCTCAACAACAACAACAACGGTGCACATGGTTTGGGTTCGACTCTCAGCCTACTCACACTCCTAAACCTTGCCAAGTCGTTAGTAAGCCTAGAAAGAGAAAAGGTTGGGCGTGAGGCTAGCAACCTCACCTCGTAAAACACTAGTATCGTTATTGAAAATTCAGTGCTTAAGGTTGAAGCCCTCTGTATTCCACTCGAATAGCAAAGAAGTGAAAAAGACTCACAATTATCTTGATTTCATTCAATGCGTTAGTCGTTATTCCTCGCTTTTTGATTTTATTTGCACATCTTTCACTTTCATAATTTTCAGTAGGTTTCATGGCATTGTATTCTTCAAAATGTCACTGTGTTGGCGGCTTGAGCTATTTTATTAGCATTACACCGGTTAATCCATTTTGTTTACTAATTATTTTTAATCTTGTATGATGTATATTAGTTATGTGATCTTTAATAGAATATCAAGTAAATATATTTATTTTTGCTTTTTCCACACCGTATTTTCGCTGCACGTATGGAATTTTCAGCATGTGATATCGTTAGCCCAAATTTTGCAGGCCGACCATTGATATCAGGTGTGCATCGCAGGGGATCGAACCCCGGACCATGTGCATGGTCGGTGAGGGTCTTAACCGCTGTACCACCGACGCACAGCCTTTAAGTGCTTTTACTTACTCCATATTTCTTGATATGCGTGTAAAAGCAAAGTTTAGGAAGAATAATGTGATTACGTATTGCTCGAAACTGTGTTGCTTTTTTTCATTTTATTTGTTATAGGTATGTAGAGCTTGAATATTAACATGTGATTGTCATTATACTTCTACTAGAATAAAAAATGATTGAGTAGGCAATGCCTCATGAATAGTTTCTACTTAACAGTAAGCTGGATGACTATTTTCCTAGGAAATTTAGTTTTTGCTTTACACTATAACAATGAAAGATTAAGCTTCAAGGTTTGAGTACTATGTAGTATATAACCAACTCTCTCTGTCTCTTATTGTAATTGTGGCTCCATTGTTAAGTGTCTGTACATTTACGTGATTTTCACATTATACAGAAGAATAATGACAAATAATAGTACATTCTCTCTACAGTCAGTAAATAGCACAAAAGTGTCAATCTGTCCATAAGCTACGGAAATCAAACTATACAAACAGTATATTGCAGTATCGCAAGACTTTATTATCATGTGTCACATTCAATAGTGATCACAACTACAACTATAACCTAAATATTGACTGCTTGATTACCAACTGATTCTGCTAATCGGTTGTTGTTTTTTTCAAGACTCACTTTTGTCTTCTAGTTTCAGTAAACTGTTATGCAAAGCTTACCTTTCCCAGGCCCCAAGACTAGATTTATCATCTAGTCGATCTGCTGCTTGTCTTATTCCTCTTGACAGTTGTTTACTGATTTGAATAAGTGGTGAATTCAGATCCAAATACTAAACACAATTTAATATCAGTCAAGAGAAAAAAAGTATTAAATATAAGCAAGATAATTCAAAGTTGACAGTAAAATGTGTATTATGAGATTTAAATTTTTGGAAATCTACTAGCGTTGGAGATGAAAGTGTATGCTTGGCAAACAATTTTTGAGATAATCTTCGGTACTTTTTTTTATAGCATTTCTCAATGTATTTGCTTCATGCTTATTCAGCTTTTTATAGCACTAAGTGTGTATGCGTTGGTGCTTCAGTAGTAGAGTACTCTTCAACCACACAGGAGGTACAGGTTTGATTCCCGTCCGACGAACGAACGAACTAAATCCTGCTTAGTTCACTAGTTGGTTGGAAGCTTATAAAAGAGGGATTTTTTTATTTCATTTGATTTTTATAAAATTTTGATGACTTAATTTTGTTTGCTTGCCTGTTCTTTAATTGCCTATAATCCTTGTATTCATTTAGAACTCTTACTTGATTTCGTATTATCTACTTTGTTCCTATGTGCATCCTGTGTAAACCTCACTCATCAAACTATACATATTATTACATTACTTCTTTTAACAACTGTTTGTGACAACTCATCACCTTTGTTATTACCCTAATTTCATTAACACCTAATTTTCTTGACTGATTTTGTATTACGTAACTCTAATTACCAATCTTCATCTGTTTAGTTAAAATAGCCATAACCAATTGTATTCTTGTTTGACAAACTTAATATACACATACATACAAAATAACACATATATATATATCTATAATTGTACAGCTAAGAAAATGAATTCACCGCCGAAAAGAGACTCTTCGCTGATCTACATGTTTTCTTTTCATTAATGCATGCTGAATGGATATTATCTATAAAAAGGGGGAAAGGTTGAGCGTGGGGCTGGCTGGTGACCCCACTTCATAAAAATTAAACAACACCTCTACCGAAACTTCAATAGCTTGAAGCCTTACTCTCCATTTCGGAATGCAAGTAATGAAAAGAAACGTGGTACATAAAAAGATCTGAAGTGAACACTAAACATTTGAGAAAAGGGGTGCACATTCTGTAAAAATCAGGCTGTTAATGTTTAATTTCCTGGTATCCCTACGTATTATAAATAATATACTGAGATCATTATACATGTTTAAATGAGTATACTCTATGGCATAGAATACAGATTACGATAAATCAAAAACTTATTGAGGATCACTGTCATTGAATACTATTATAAGGTCGATAATACAGATTGGTCTTTCAAGGAAAAGGAAGAGTATAAAGGATACAAGCCATTAAGGACTGAAATCAACTAACATGTTGCCAGGCTATTCAAATGCATTAGAATACATGTGTCCAAATACCAGTGCGCTCATAATCCTATGTCTTTTGAATGATTTTGCAATATGTCGTATACAGTCAGTCGTCAGTGTGAGTTAATTAAGATGAAGGTTTGCTTATTGGAATCATAATAATTTTTATCAAATTAAATTTACTTTGGGTATTATTAGTTCTTACAGCATAATACCCTCACGTAATTAAGGTGTTATTTACACACTGTTTTTAATACAAAAAGGCAAATAATACAACCTAAACATTTATTACTGATGGCTCCATGATTGTTACTGATGTCATAAGATTGCTAAGTGTTATTTACTGACTTAGAATTAAATTGTCATACAACTGCAGGAGAAAAGAGAATTGGTTACGGGAGTATTTATTTGCAACCTCACACACAGATATGGGCAAAATATGTCTACTATGTAGTAGAATCACAATTTGCGTATACTTTTGGCATTGTGCTGCTTTGTCTACATGTCATGTTTTCCATGTTGTTTCTCAAGCATTGTTCACTACATCCATCTCTCTGCCACTTAACTTTCTTGACGCTGACATACATATTTATATCTGCATCCATGTACTACTTATGGATCTTTTCAGTAGCATATGCCACAGCCATACTATTGTTTTGTGACACTTTAAGTTGCAGGGAAGTCTGCAATTTCAGTTACTAAATAAGGATTTATTTCCTCGAAATTGAAATTATCCCTTGGTCTGTGCACTAGCTGATAATTCCTTTCCTACCCTTTCTTTGTGTTCAACTTCATACTACTTACCTATAGTAAGTAGTATGGGATTAACTTGTTTTTCCCATCGATGACTTGTTTACTACTGAAGTTTAACTTGCTTAATGTGTTAATACCCAATTTGATATGTAGTAATTATTTTCGTAAAGCTATTATCCACCACGTATGCTTTGTTCATATATCCTTCGTTGTCAAACATTGTTTATTCAAATCTTTTTATTCTTTGTATGGCATTCGCGCACCGTTTAATCTTACTATGTATTGTCTTTGACACGGCTTTGTTGTCTTTCTAGCTAACGCACAGTAGCTGTGAATTTGACTGCATTCAGCTACAAACAACTCACATTTTCGGGTTTTTATATTATATGTCACGAATTTATGTACAATAGAGTACCATATTTAGACAAATCCTGTGTTTTATGGTTTTACGCATCACTCAACGCGTGGTTTCATTCATCCATAGGATTATCGCTCTGAATTTCTTAGAAGAAATCTACACTAACTTATACATCTGTTAGATTCTGAGATTTGTATAGATTTCAGCACTTACTTTCCATGGTTCTTTAAAAGTCTTTTTGATAAGCGATATGTCTTGAGTCATTACAGATTTTTTGGCTTCTTCTTCCATCTGACTCTTTCTACTGATCTTTTCTTCCAAAGTAATTTCCTGGAGATTAGTAGAAAAAAGAGTTTTTTATGAAATGGAATATTTGAAGCATGGATTAACAGTTTCGTTGATCACTTGACTTGACATTTTTTGAGGGATAGTTTATGTTGTCTAGATAAGTCACATTTATTTTTCATAGAAAAGAAGACCTTTGTTGATCAATAATAGAAACGTCAGAACAAAATACGCAAGCAGATACTTCGACAATGCCTGGGCATGTAATTAGAAGTTAATTGGTGGACGATGACTAGCAGTGAAATCCAGGATGGCATTTCATCCTATTTGGGACTCGTCATCTGGAAGTACCTTCAATTAAATTAAATTATTATGACCCATTGCACAAGAGGTGGCTCTCGTAGCCCAAGTGATCTAGTTTGTAACTATGGGAACTAGGTTCGAGCATTGTTGGGAACACCATCACTTACTGGGGAATGCAGGTACATCCAGATGACGAGTCGCAAATGGGACGAGATGCGTATCCTGGGTTCCACTGCTAGCTATCATCCACCAATTAACTTCAATTCTTGTCTAATTTTATTTTTTTTGTATTTAACTGATGGGCTACTGAACGTAGAAACTTGCACACAAATGTGCCATCTTGGCTGCTAGTTTTATTTTACTGTTGCTATTATAAGTGTGATTTGTTCATAGTGAGTTTTTCTCTGAGCTGGATTTAGAGGTAAAAGAATATTCCATTATCATGATTAGCGCTGCGTATGAGGTAGTTTAAAGGCCTTAAGATATCCATCCACCACATTATCCAAATCGATCCTAATTTGCCGGTATATCTGAGAGAGTATATGGAATCCTACTGATTAATGCCATCTTCAAATTCTACAGGTAAGCTTTCAATCAAATATGTTGCTTCACTGCAGTATGATAAAGTCTTTTACTGTTAAAGACTATCTTTTTTACTACTTAAATGAACTATTGTTTGACTGATTCTTCTGTACTGATAAGGGTTCTTTCCGTCAGATGACCGAAGTTGGTTCGATTGAAAGGCAGTAGTCTGCATTTATTCATTGATTTTTTATTCAACGTAAAATTCAACGAGTTAATCACTGTGACTGTTTGACTACTTTCTTCTAATGCTAGTTTGCACTAGTATAGTGTCTTAAAAGGCGGTTAAGGAAAGTGGTTCGACCGCAAGCATTCTTCTTTAAAAGCCTTAACTGAGTTATTGCTTTAAATTTTCTCCAACGTGTCTTTACCAAATAATAATAGTAGTAATTTAAGTGTGTATAGTTTTCTCGTGTGCAACAGAAAGTTGATGTCATATTAGTAACAAATACAGGACAACCGTTTTTGTTCTGTGGAATGGTCTCCCTTAAGATTAGAGTTTAATTCTATAATATTTGCAACCTATTCACCAATTAGTGTTAAAAATAATTGTTGATTATAGTTAAAAATGGGCTTTTAATAAACATATTGAACATTATATAAACATATTGTTGGAGAATAAAGCTTTCATCTGAAGATCAAGGAGCCTAGTAGCTTATGATGTTAAAAGTAATTTCAGGAAAGCTGTTAATGTGACTATCTAATTATAACTTTTTATTGATTGTTAATAATATAATAGGTCATGACTGAAACTGAAATAAATACGTGGGTGAAACAAATGATTCCTGGATTACCAGCTGGACAGCTATTGTCATCTGTTATGAACTAACTACTTATTCACGTCGCTGCTGAACATACATAATTCTCGATAGTTGCAGTGACGTAATAACCTGGTTAGTCGCCACGTCTTATAATCCAGTTGATACAGCGTCTAACCAGTTTCCTTGTTGGCTTTCTTATAAACTGTTTGGAGGAAATGTTGTTGATGAAATAAAAATATCGGTAAAAATGAAATCATTCGTTTTCCTTAGTACATCATTCGATGAAGTGATATATCGTGGATTACTTGATTTGTAAGCGTAGAAAACACCATGGGTCATGTATTATTTCACAGAATTTTTGGACATTATAAAAAAGATAAGTGGAAAAAAATAACCTGTCATTACTTCGTGGAGTCCAGCAAATAATCCTGAATACATCTTTTCCAATGGTTGTCTTGGTATATCTTCAAAGAATTCTGATGTGACAAAGTTTGCTAAGAATATTCTTTCAATTAAATCGGCATAAGATGATGGCAGTTTCACGTTTAAGTCTATGATTTGTTAGATAGATAGAATTTGCCATAAATAAAATGGAATGCATATAAAAAAATGGCAGGACAATATTTATTATGCTTTTCAATACATATAAGTAATATGCTAGCATGTATTTCAGCAGACAGCTAAGATTATAGTTAAAAATTTTCAAAGTAACCAGAAGGTCCTGGGTTCGAACCCCGGTGGGTGCATACTGTTGAAGAGTCCCAAACTAGGAGGAAAAAGCTGTCCAATACTCCCAGGTTTTCCAATGACTCTTTAACCAATGCCAGCTCATGATGAAATCCTGTAATCAATCAACCAAATCCCTGCAAACCAATACTTGAATAACTTAGTAATCTGTCACGAAGAGGTATTCAAATATTATTATTATTATTGTATCCTTTAGTTCCTAGAGGAACATAGGGCTTCAGCTGCGCACCTCCATTGACTTCGGTTTTCTGACAACTTTTTCACCCTGCTCCAGGTCTGCCCACATGCTTTCATCTCCTCTTCACATGACCTCCTCCAAGTCACCCTTGGACGACCAACTCGCCGCCTCCCTTTCGGGTTCCACTCGAGGGCTTGTCTAGTGATGTCACTTGATGGTTTCCTCAGCGTATGGCCAATCCATCTCCATTTCTTTCTGCCTATTTGTTTCACAATCGGTTCCTGATTGGTTCGCTCCCAGAGATCCCTGTTGCTGATCTTTTCTGGCCATCTGATCTTGAGTATTGAGCGGAGACAGTTGTTAATGAAGGTTTGAAGTTTGTTTGAGATGCTCTTTATGACTCGCCAAGTCTCTGATCCGTATAGTAGCACTGACTTCACATTGGAGTTGAAAATCCGGATCTTATTTTTGATGCTGATGCTGTTGACCTCCACACAGATTTGAGAGTAATGAAAGCTTGTCTTGCTTTTCCGATTCTGGCTTTGATGTCCTCGTCAGTTCCGCCTGTAGTTGAGACGATGCTTCCCAGGTAGGTGAAGGAGGTTGTTTCTTTCAGGTTCTTCCCATTTATGCTTATTGTGGTCTGTTGTTGCTGTTGATGTTGGCTAGGAATCTTCATCATCTCTGTTTTATCTATGTTCACGTGAAGTCCTATCTTTGATGCTTCTTCTGCCAACTTGTTACTTTTCACTTGCATATCTTCCAGTTTATGGGAAATCAGACATATATCATCGGCGAAATCCAGATCCTCCAAGTCTTTTGTGTCAGTCCATTTTATGCCTGTTCCCTCGTTGGTTGCCGTTGTCTGTCGCATTATCCAATCAATTGCAATCAGGAAGATCATTGGTGATAGTAGACAGCCTTGCCTCACTCCCGTCCTCACTTCGAAGGCTTCCGTAAGTTTCCCGTTGTGGATTACTTGGCATGCAGCATTGTCGTATAACTGTTGGATGAGGTGTATAATTGTCGATGGGACCCCGTAGTAGCGAAGTAGTTTCCAAATGACCTCTCGATCGACGCTGTCGAAGGCCTTTTCAAAGTCGATGAAGTTGAGATAGAGAGGTGACTGCCATTCCAAGCTTTGTTCAATGATGATCCGTAGAGTGGCGATTTGATCAATACATGATTTGTTTCTCCTGAATCCAGCCTGTTCCGGACGAAGTTTTTCATCTAGGGCTTGTTTGATTCTCTCCAGGATGATGCGACTTAGTATCTTGCTTGGAATGGACAGAAGCATAATTCCACGCCAGTTTTTACATTGACTTAAGTCTCCTTTCTTTGGAAGTTTGAATAAGTAACTGTTCTTCCAATCCTCGGGTACTTTGCCCTCTTTCCACACCTTCTCCAGTAGTGGTGTCATCAAGTCCGCTGTTGTCTCTGGGTCTATTTTCAAAGCCTCTGCTGGGATTCCATCTGGTCCCGGTGTTTTCCCAGTTTTAAGCATCTTGATTGCATTCAGGACTTCTGATTTCGTCGGGGGGTCAGTGTTCACTGGTAGTTCTGCTTCCGTTGTTGGTATTGCTGGACGTGTTGTAGGTGGCGGACGATTTAGAAGTCTTTTGAAGTGTTCAACCCAGTGCTTTCTCTGTTCCACCTCTTTGGTGATTGACTTTCCATTGTCGTCCTTTATTGGCTTAATCTGTGTCGAACGTTTGCCCGAAAGGTTCCTAGTTGTTTGGTAGAGTGTGGCGAGGTCTCCTTTGCCTGCAGCTTGTTCTGCTTCGTTTGCCATGGTTTCATAATATTTTCTTTTGTCTTCCCTGGCACTTTTCTTCACTCTTTTGTTCAGTGTATTGTAGCTTGCATTCAGCTCCTGTTTTTGTTGCTCGTCCGTGCACTGGATAATCTTTTGCTTCACTGTCCTTCTCTCTTCTATTAGTTTCCAAGTGTCCGTAGTGAGCCACTGTTTGTCCTGTCTCTTTTTTCTGCCTAGAATTTCTATGCAGGTTTGGCTCCACACCGTTTTCAAGTTGTTCCAGTGCTTTTCAACGCCGACCTCTTCGCTAGTGTTGATTTGTGTCTCGGCTTTGTCCTTTATGCTTGCAATGAAGATGTCCTTTGTAGCCTGGTCCTTCAGCTTTTGAGTGTTGAACTTGGCTTGTGGTCTATCTGCAGCTCCTGATTCCCTGAAAGCTTTTAATTTGATTTGGATTGTCCCTTGTACGAGATAGTGGTCTGAGCCAACGTCTGCTCCTCTTCTTGCTTTTGTGTCCAGTAGGCTGCGCCTCCACTTCCTTGAGATTGAGATGAAGTCGATTTGGTTTTTGGTTTGCCCGTCTGGTGACACCTATCATCTTATTATTACTGGTTGGCGGCGGCTCTTCATATCTTTAAATATTCCCACTTTTAACATTAGAACAAGACATATAAGCGAACAATATTATTTTCAATTAGATCTTCAGGCTTTACTCTAATTTACGTAGATTTATGTACATAAATTTTTAACCAATGACGGTGATTTTGTGGATCAAACAATAAATAATGATAATAATGTGGTAAATGTTTTGAACGTTGTTAATAACGATTATAATGATAACAAAATATTGATAATAAGGTTTATGCAGGTGGCGATAAGAATAACAAAGGTAGTAATATATGTAGACAATTCAATAAATAAATTAGGTCAAATCTTGAAAGTTACGTAATACTAAAAGTGAAATGGACAGATAATCAGAGTTTAAATAAATATCACTAAAACATGAAGGAAACGAAAAATAAGAAAGCGTGGGGGGGGGGTTTAATTAGACTTTACTTAGACCAAGGGAGAGACAAAGGTAGAACAAACTTATTTCGTATGCAAAGACTAGGATTGTTCTCTCGAATTCCCATAGCTTCCGCTATGTGTAAAAGACGGATTCGAATTCATATCGCGAATCCGCAAAAGTTAAAATTCATAGGTTATTGAACTCTTTATCAGTGAGTGAATAGTCAACGAGCTTGCCTCGTAACTTCAGTTGCCTGCATTCAGCTAATGCTAGGGGCTTAGGTGCGTACTTTTGAAGAGTCCCCAGCTAAGACGAAACAGATATTGAGTACTTTCTGTCTTTCAGTTATTCTTGTGATCCAGCTTGAAAACAGTGAAATCCCTACAAGCTAACACTCGAATATTATCAGTGTTGTATGATACATTGTTTTAACTGACAAGGCTTTGAAAGTGAGGTGAGATTAGGTTGTGATAGACGAAAGTTAACAAGTATTTTTCTTTCATTGGAACATTCAAGTAAATAAAGTTTGATTTTAAAGGTATATTGTGAGTTTTGAAAAAAGTTATGCTAATAACTAATTACCAAAACTGATTTTCAGTGGCATTTATTTATTCTGTAATATTTTACAGTGTTTAATTTTTATACTTTCGGGAATATTGATTTCTTAGTTAAACAATAACAGTATTGAAAAGTACGTCAATTTACTTGAGAAGTAATGTTGATATCTGAAAAATGTTGAAATAAATACAGTGGCGGCGATACACCATGAATTGGAAGAACGTAGAATCAATAAACTGGCCATTGGATAGGGTCCAAGTGGCTCAACGGTCTGCGAGCTCGCTAGCCTTGTAACCAGAAAATCTCGGATTCGAACCCCGTGGTGTGGCCGGGTACTGCTGAAGAGTCCCAAACTAGGCCGAAACATCTGTCCAGTACTCCCAGGTTTTCCAATGATTCTCTAACTGATGTCAACTCATGATGATACCCTCCAACTAATCAAACAAAATCCCTACGAAAGCCAATACTTGAAGCCACAATAATAGTTGAAATGTCATATTTGTGAATTTTAGATGAAAACTCCTGAATGAATATGATTAAAGATTTCCATAAAACGTTTTCTTCTATGTCATCCTCGACAGGCGGAGTCGTAGAGTATCTATGCCAAGTAGACAGTATAAATCATCTTAAAGGGAACAGTAGACTTCCATGTGTATTTAATGTTTCTGAAGTGTAGAAATGAAATTCGTTTACATGTTTAGTTGACAAATATCTGAGTTGAAGGTTTGAAGACTAAAATGAGCTACTTAAACCTACTGTCGTTGTGGTGTGTGCTGCTGATAAGATTTATCAGTAGTATACATATATATGAAGAGATATTCATCGGCATAAAACATCAAATAGCAGGGAGATAGATTTGATGTTAGAGGAAGTAAATGATACAGCGTTGTTGAGGAACATGGGAGAAGTGAAAGGAAAACAAAGTAACACAGTATAAAGACCAGAAGTAGTACAACACGAGAGATATGTGCAAATGGTGTGTTGAAGATAAGATGTACATAATTTGGCTATATAGAGATACCATATTCCCTCAGAAATATTGCTTCACCAAGTCTTTGCCTTCTCCCTCTTCAGGGTGCTTTAACAATAAACAAATTCAAAGAGAAATATACAGAATAATAGATGAATTCTTTGTATCTACTAATGTTAGATGGAACTTTACATCAGTGTTTAGTTTGTAAGGGGATATTCGAGTTTATTTTCCTTTTCTAGCAAACCTCAATGATTATTTGAGAAACACAACGACTACAGACAGATATTCCAGCGTAAAGTCTCCTAAGTAATATGTACCTTTTAGAAATATTTGAAACACAGATTGAAGCATGTTTTCTAACTATTTATATAAGCCGCCTAGATATTATTTAATTTAATTGCAGATTGTATTAGTGCAATTACACTTGATAATATTGTGGTGAGAGCGGACTGCAGGTCGAAAACGGTAGATAACAATTTACGTCAATCTTCACGTCCTGAATCAGAGTCACAAGGAAAACAATAACAAAGCTTAACCTTGAGAAAATCACCAGCCAATCACAGCGAAGTTAAAGCGTCGTAATATGATTCGTAGACTTGATTTTCTGAACCTTCAGCAAGAAAACAACCAATCAGAAGAGGTTTCTTCTCTGCTGACAATAACTCTAATAATAATGCAGATAAAAATCTATAAATACCTCTTGATTTTCTCAATGTAGGATCTGCTGACTCGCCCTTGTCTTCTATCGTTGCACTACTAAACGGAAAGTCTCTGGTTTTCAGTGGTTCTATAACTGATATCGATCAGTGATCAAACTAGAAACAAATCAAATCCCCACAAACAAACTATTGAAAATTATTATTACTACTTTGGACCCACTTATTTCTTATCCAGTCTTTCCCTAATGTTCTTTTGTCTTATTTTTCTCTTCGCAAAAGTGTGACGTTCTCTTTTATCAGACTTTTTTTAACCAACACGTGAAGAAGCACAAATGTTAAAATGCGCTATTTTAACATCACTAAAGAAAAGTAAGAAAAACTGAAAGAGTTATAAAGGCCCATCAGTTCAATGCACTGAATTTTCAGCGTAGGCTTTTACAAAGAAAGGTACAGTATTTCAAAATGTTACATCCCATGGAAGAACATATAACGGATAGGAAAGAGGGAAAAGACGAAACGAAAAATGAAAATAAACTATGATAAACAGGAATGTACACGTGAAAGAAAAATTGCGTGGACAATAATGAAAAACCTCAAAGATTTAGAAATTCAGAAGGAATGAATGAATCTGTATCAGTGAGGGTGATTTTTGACCATGCAGACAATAGTTTCCAACTATGGAGTTCTTAGAGCTTCGAGGACCCTCAACTAAGCAGTCCACACCTTTCGTGGCACTACCAAATTAATTCCAGTTAACCAATCCTATGTCAGTTAACACTACTCACTGGGGAGTAATTAATTTATTGAATCGCGACGTCAAGGAATGAAAAAGTAGAATATTTTTGGATAATACTGTAACAGCAGAAGACCAGGGCCAGGAAACAGATCATTTATTAAGGAAATCAACACATATTTATATATTTTCATGTACATATTATGGATTATTGTTAGCAGAAAAACACAGTCTTCTGATTGGTTGTTTCTCACTAAAAGTTAATCTTTCATCTCTTTGTGGCTGTTTCTTGAATGTCAGATCATCTATATGTTAACTGTATCCGCCTACGCAAAGCCTTTGTTCTCATTTTTCTCACGACCAATATTGGGGACATAAACACTGACGTAAATTACAGTCCACCGATTTTGACTAACAGCCAGCTCTCATCACAATACTACATCAAAAGTTGCGAGTCCTGGAAAGTGTAATTACTCCTTTTTTTTCTAGAAACTGTGTATCATAAAAATACACTTTATGTATCATAAAGAACACCTCAAACAAACTACAGACCTTCATCAACAGCTGCCTTCGCTCAATACGAGTCAAGATCAGATGGCCAGAAAAGATGAGCAACAAAGATCTCCAGGAGCGAACCAACACAGCAGGAACCGACTGTGCAACAAATAAGCAGGAAGAAATGGAGATGGATTGGATTGGCCATACTCTGAGAAAACAAACCATCAAGTGACATCACTAGACAAGCCATTGCTCGAGTGGAACCGGAAAGGGAAGAGGCAAGTTGGTCGTCAGTGCAAGGGTGACTTGGAGGAGATCATGTGAAGAGGAGATGAAAGCATGTGGGTAGACTTGGAGCGGGATGAAAACTCTAGCAGAGAACCGAACGCAATGAAAACGTGCAGCTGAAGCTCTATGTTCCTCTAGGAATTAAAGGATGTAATAATAATCATTCATATATTTGTTTCTCTTAAAGTTATAAAAATACTGCTTACCATAACGTCTTTCATCAATTTGAACGTCTGATAATAATGTTGGCTGTAGTAAAATAGTAAATCAGAGAGATATAATATTTTATTATATATTATTTACTGTTTTAAACAGAAATACATTTTCCTCAAAAACATGAATTATTTATCGACCAATGAGTTATAGAAGAAATAGTGGGAAGAAACTTTTTACTTAAACTTCTTTAGAATTTTAAAGAAATTATCAATCTTTAAGTCAAGCTAAATTGTCAGTTTATGTAAATGTCTAAACGAATTTGAGATTTATTAGTCTCGAAAAAAAATTTGACCGTTGTGTATATGATTTTTTCATTTTTCTATTCCTTTACGTTCTCAGAGGAACATAAGGCTTCAAGCCAGAACTTTGAAGTTTCTGTAGTAGTGGTGTTTATTTTTACGGCATGGAGTAGCTAGCCTCATGCCCTTCCCTGTTCACCAGTCTTAATAATGGCTTAGAAAGGTAAAGGAGTGCGTCTGTGGCCGGGGGTCGAACTTCGAACCAAATGCTCAGTTGGTGAACATTCTACCACTGTGCCACCGACAAATAGGTGAGCGCAAACAAAGTTCTTGGAACTAAAAGGATGGAAAACATCTGTAGATGAACTCAAAGGATGATACGAAAAATATTTAAACTAAACACAACACGTCAAACAGGATACTAACTGGAAATGAAGTTTGAAGGTTTGAATCGTATTATTGCTGTAAATCCATTATTAATTGAGGAAATATTGAACCTACTCTAGAAATAATCAGTAATGAAGAAATAAAACATGTGTGCTAAAAAATACTGCATATTCTAATGAAGCAGAGGCGAAAGATATCCTCCAGTTTCACTAAACAAGAATATGAAAAAAATAGACTGTAGTTACAAAAACAAATAAAGGAAATGTACCAGCGATGATGAACTTAAGTAAATACTAAAAAATGTATTTTAATATGTCTCATGCCCCATACTTGTTTATTGAGATGAAGTTCGACAAAATAAACAAAATGAAGGAGACATCTTCAAGAATTAAAACCCAGAATTAAGAAATCATTTCTTTTTAAACTTGAACACAACTTTTACTTGCCTTCATGATTCTACTTTTAGTCAAAGAAACTCAAACCACAATGCACTTATAATCAGTAGTTGACTTTACCAATTCACTAATATACAATCTCTCCAAATACCTATCGTCGATACCTGTGGATACCTCTTCGAAATTACACTTAACATACTATCCAGGACATACTTGATTTTGAATCCACGAAAGAAAACCAGGAAGTTGAGGAACTTGACAATTAGGTAAGCTATGATATTAACTCTATATATACTAGCATTCCTATGACTTTAAGTCTTGATATGATTTTCACTTAACTAGGACCAGACGCAGCATTATCAGAAAGATGTCACTGAACACGAATGGGATAATCAATGCCTTAAAATTTTGTTCGGAAACTAATTACTTTACACTTAAAGGAAATTTATATCTACAGACAGATGGGGTAGTCATATATATATATATGCAGGAAAAAGTGGAGATGGATTGGACACTCGCTGAGGAGGCTGCTGCGTGACATCGCGCGTCAGGCCATTGCTCGAGTGAAACCCGAAAGGAAAGCGGCGAATGGGACGTCAGTGCAAGGATGACATGGAGGAGATCGTGTGATGAGGAGTTGAAACAGTATGGTTTAACATAGATGCAGGTGAAAAGTATAGCAAAAAACAGAAGTAAGTGAAGACGTGCACTTGAGCCGTATTTTCCACTAGGAACCTAAGGGAACAATATACTGGTATCCTGTATATGCGGCGGTTTGAAACAGAAGTAATAAAGACTGCTTAACACATTTATTTACAGTCTAGTAAAAAACGTTCTGCTAAGCAGATACTCAGTTTTTTATATGCTCATTTTAAAATGTATTTTCCTTTGGCAAATCCATTGAAGAAATCAAATTATTATTCTCAATCATTACAGTGCTTATAATTCGTTTGTTTAAATTTAGTGCATTTTAACACTATAAATTTTAGTGATTGTTTTAGTATTGAAGTATAATTCTAATGAAATATTCAGTTAAATATCTAATATTAGTCTTCATACATTTAGGTGTCTTGAAAACGTTAATCTTTTTAAAAATTTAAAACAGGTTTAATAGTGTTAATTATAAGATTTCGGTTGAGCATTCAAATGATGTTACACACAAAGTAGATTTGAAAATGCAGTACTTACTTTATTTTCTTTAAGATATAGAAATTGCTGGAATTATATAAAAAAGAAGGGAAATATTTACATTTTCACATGTTAATTTAATATTCTACACTTATAAATCCAAATCACGAAACATTGTATTCCGATGAACACATGAGATTCAAAAATGAAACACAATTAGTCTAACATAAAACCATTAGCGTAGCTTTAGAGCTAAATGAATTCCGTCAGATAAGTTTGAAATGTGGTCACCAAGGTGGTTGACTTGTCATCGCAGTGCATTTTAAATTAATGTTAGGAGGTTAGAGGTAGTCAGTAGGTAAACCCTGCTGGAAATTCACAGCAGCCTGCTAGAAATCGGGCCACCAAAAACTTCCATCTCTCTATTGCATATATTTTCTCTCGTTAGGTTTGTTGTAATCGGTTAAGATATGACCTCTATGTGTATTTAAAATGTTTACAAGCTTCCTAGTTGCAAGTTCCTACTGAAATCGAGAAAAGGCCTGATTGCGGGTGGTAATGTGTTCCAATACACGAGACAACTGCTCTTCAATTAATTAAGTCCTTCGATCTCAAAATATGCTTCTGAACATCTTACAGTCACCTTCCCGCCAGATATCGTGGATTTCTTAAAGGAAACAAGGCAGATGTATTATAATGGAATGGTTTGTGCTTCAGCTCAGATACCATTGTGTCACAGAATACAGTGTTAATGAATATTTTACTTGAAGATGTTGTACGAAGAGAAAATATCCTGCAATAAACTCCTCTGAAAATTCTGTACATTTTATAAATACTATCCAGAATAACGATATTATTATAAGTGTCAATAAACATGAGATCTACGTTCAGGGATCCCTGGCGATAACCACCAAATGGGGATACAGTTTTTTTTAAACATAATTTTACACAATACTTACATCTACCAGGGTTATAAAAGCTCTTAGTAACTTGAAATTTTAGACTGTTTATCGGTTTTCAAAGTTGGTTAACGTTTGCTGGTGAAAAAACATACTTTTTTTCATCAGGCGTAATGAATTGAATCTATAGTTCAGTGAAGTGTATCAGTGCATTTAATAGACTAAAAAAAGGTTTTTCTGAATCTAAAACTCATATTTTCTCAGATGTAAAAGACATCAGTGTATGAAAACACAAGATTTGATAAGCACCAAAAACATATTTCCTGTCTAATTGGCTTTAGAAAATGAAATTTTAATTTAGATTTCGATGAATAAAATTCATTTCCTGAGCACATTTCTCTTAAAGTGTTTTATAAAATAAGACCAAGTCGTCCAAAGGGGTTTCAGATATATCTTCTATCCATAACAGAAGCTCTTGCTAAACACAAGGTAAACCCTGAACTGTGTATACAGGAGTAGTTTATCTAATCCTTTTTATTACCGTGGCCTTAAACCTTCCTTTGTTTAACTCGTATAGCAACTTGGTATCTAATTCATATTTATTTGGTCTTTTTTGTCGTCGTCTTATTTCTCTCAATCAAACTCCTAACTTTAAACTTTACTTTATAAGTATTCTGAATTAAAAACTTCATGCAATTCTTGTCATTAATTAACTTGAACAAAGCAAGAACAACAACTGTACCATGATAATATGAGCTCATCTTTTATTATTTCAAGGATTCTTCTCAACTGGTTACAACCTGAACGATAAAAATATGAATTACATTAAAGATTTGAACACACTTTTCCTCGATCACAAGCAGTAATTGGTAGGAAGTAAAAGTAACATTAGTTCGGAATGATTTAACTAATTAAGAGTTACAAACACTGACTTTTTATAGAATAATTAGGCAATTAAGCTCACACACATATATATACGCAACTTTGTTTTTATTTCCAAGCATAATCGTCTAATTATTCTGTATATAGTCAGTGTTTGTAACTGTTAATTAGTTAAATCATTCCGGACTAGTGCTACTTTTACTTCCTACCAATTACTCTTTGTGATCGAGGAAAAGTATGTTGAAATCTTTAGTGTAATTCAGATATTTATCGTTCAGGTTGTAACCAGTTGAGAAGAATCCTTGAAATAATAAAAGATGAGCTCATATTATCATGGTACAGTTGTTGTTCTTGCTTTATTCTGAATTACTGACCGTTTTGAAAAATGTTCTTGTTTCCAAGATCGTGTCATTTCTAATATTTGTTTCTCAGTGGTAACTATTTCTGAACGATACTCATTACTTATTGTTTTTAGATTACATAATTCCATTATTTTGCTTGATATGTAAATTTTAAATGTTTTGTTAGCAACTGGTGTAACTGATTGACCTAAGTGGCAATACCCTGACTCTTTACGACACTATCTAACTGTACAGGTGTGAATATTTTTTTGCTGGCTTGGGTCTTTCTGAATTATGTTACATCGGTATTTTTCATATTTTAAAATAAAGAGTTGTACTTTGTGCAGCATTTTATAGCTTCAGTTTTTCCCTTCTAGTTTTATTACTCACCGTTGGAGTTTTGATCCAGAGGGCTTTGGTATTATTGTAGATCTTATTCATTCAGTTTCCAAGGTTATAAGCTACGAGTATTTAGTTGATTTGTAATAATCTTCATTTCAAATAGTTTGTTACTAAGTAAGCTCCAAAAAACTAATGTAACGCAAAAACTAGAAATTGTTTACATTGTCTTTAAGAAAAAAGGTGACTAAGTAATAGACTAGTAAGCTGAAACTCCGTACCTGGGATTTGGTTGTGAACTGCTTCACACTTATGTGAAATGCTATGATGAATAAATATCTTACAGGACACTTCTGTGTATTATAGTGATTACTGTACGATTTAATACCACGCAACTCTGTATAGGTATTCATTTCGTCGTTATGTTTTGTTTTATTCCTTTACGTTCCCAGTGGAACATAGGACTTCAAGCTAAAGGCTTGAAGTTCCGGTAGCAGTGGTGTTTACTTTTACGGGATGAGGTTGCTAGCTACATACCCAACCTTTCCTGTTTACCAGTCTTAATAATGACTTAGAAAGATAAAGGAGTGCGTCTGTGGCCGGGGATCGAACCCTGAACTACATGTTGCGTGGTTGGAGAGCATTTTACTGTTGTACCACCAATAAATTTCATTATTATGCAGTGTTTCCATTCAAAACAGCTGTGTGTCCCTTGAAAAAGATACCTTTTTACAGTGAAATATATATAAACATATATCATCTCATGTAGGCTGTATATTTTATGTTCCTTTGATGAACAAAAGACTAAAACATGACGCCATATCTTTGTCCTTTGATCTATTTCACCTGTCCCGTTAGCATTGTGCCTCTTCAGTTTGCCACGAGTATAAACTTTACACTTGCCTATATTTTTACACCTTATTCAATAATCAATAAAAATTTCCTGTATAGTTTGCATAGGCCACATTCGATTTGTTTAAAAACTCTGCACTAACTAAATACTGGTTATTATTTTCAGTAGTGATTTTCCAATGCACAAACAATAATATAAAACTTTGTACGTTTAACCTACCTCGAATCTTTTTCTCAGATCATCTGATTTAAGACCGAATAAACTCAATATATCAAGCTTATCATTAATTTCTTCGTATAATTTTTTGTCTTCTCCATCTAAAAGCAATTCTTCGTTTTCTAGAAGTGCTATTCCGTCTAAGATATCTAGTATGAAATTCTCAACTATAACAGAAGCTAATTGTGAACTGATAGCATTTTGCCTGAAAAAATAAAGGTTTAAAAGAGTTATTATGCTAATATGCTCACAAGTGTTTTGTAGCTTTCAGATGAAACATAATGTACAGTTTTACTAACATTATAATAGATTTTTAAATGATTTTTAAATAGCCCACAAAATCTACTGAAAATATCACCATATTCTAATTAAATGTATTTTTTTAAAGGTTAGCTCAATTCACTATACAGCAGACATCATATAGAGCGCCAATGAAAAATAAGAGAGCAGTTAACAGCTACTTCGCCTCAGTTTGGGATAATCAGCAGTAAGCGATCCAGTTATCGTGGTAATCAAGCTGTTATGAGAACTTATACTCGGTTAGTAGTCTTTTAAGGCTAGTTACTCATATTTATCGCTGACACAGATATTGTATACATACATTTCGCCTTGGAGAGACTGCTGTGTATGGCTATATTGATCTCTAGAATCAGGTATAGTAATAGTTAAACCTAATGAAGAAAACGCACTGCCTAAGGACATTATGGAGTTTCTTTTACTCTCTGATCAACAATGAATGGATCTACCGAATGGTAATTCTTTTACAACCTAATCCCATAGTAGCTGACATCGGTCATCTAGGCAGACTGTAGCCTATTGTGTATATTTCGCGTTATAGTTACCTCATTCACTGAAGATTTAGAGTCCGACATTATTTACCATGTTACTTCACCTAAAATGAGTTACTAAACAAGGACTTTTATGATCGTAACGCCTAATCTTTTCATATCTACTAGTTTTGGGTGTCATGTTTCACAGCTTCAAAATAGAAAGAACAGAATGGTCTGCTACACAGTACACAAATGCCAAATAGGCGTGTTGAGAAAACTAAAAAGACAATATCAAATGTGAATCTTTTGGCAGAAAGTCACTTTTTGAGACATAAAAGTTAACAAAAGTCACACGCATCTGTACATCTAAAAGGAAATCAAATGAGAATGGTGATAGGGGGAGTCATTGATAGATACCACTAGTTGTTACTTCTGATGAAAACCTCCCATATACTGTTTAGTGACTACATGAATGTGAGTAGTGTATGTTGATTGGTAAAATCCACTTTCTTAGAATTTGGTTCACAGATGAACATTGACGCAACACATGTTCACCAATGGAGTCCAAAAAAGTCCAGATATGTGATAAGAGTCATTCTTGACGAGTATGTTTATCTACCATAACAAGTCTCTGCAATTGAGTGTAAATGTCATTGATTTTCTTGTGTTTGTCTTCCTTGAAGTCATTGTGCATTATTGGAATCTGATACCTTTGGATATTATATTAATCAAGCTGATTTCCCTTTTGCTATCAAGGAAATTCCTTTCCTAACTTTGGAACTGTGATATTCAGTGATCGCTTATCAAGTGGATTTATTTCAAATTCCTCTCCACATGAGAGGATGACAGTTGCTCCCTATATTAATTCATCATCACAAAAATATGAAGCATTCCCGGTGAAAAAGTGTCAGTCTTTTTAAGAATGAGTGTACCTATTAGTGAAAGACTGGATATGTAAGGACATCGTGATTCACTATTTCCTATACTTATTGAGTATTTAAGCTCACAAACAAACGCATATTGAGTATCTAAATAAGTGTTTCAGAAAACGAAAGACTTTGTATCGGAATGTTTATTAGGAAATTGGTATCTCCACATAGCCAAATTATGTACACCTTATACACAATGCACAATTTGCACAGAACTCCAGTGTTTTAATACTTCTGGCCTTCATATTGCGTGTGTTTCTTTGTGTTGCCTTTACGTCTCCTATGTTTCTCCAGAACGCTGTATCATCTGCCCTCTCTGACATCAAAAGTATCTCTTTGATAATTGATATTTTTATGCCGATGAACATCTCTTTATGTACTACTGACAAATTATATCAGTATCACTCGCCATATGAGGAGTTTTCCACTGAACTTCTTCCTTAACAAAACTATTTCTATCTTGTGTCGGCTTGATGTGAGTAGCCACCGGTTGTGACAGTGTAGTTATGTAAAGTAGTAATTTTACGGAGATAAAAGATATGTAAGGAGCAAAATACAAAAAAGTAACTGACCTAGCATTCACAAAAGATTTTCTGAAATAACAAACGGGCTTATTCTCATATTTTCGTTTCCCTTGATTGGATAAGAAAAATGATCACAAGTGGTATACGAACTCGCCTTGTAACCAGAAGGTCCTGGGTTCGAACTCTGGTGGTGGGTGCGTACTGCTGAAGAGTTCCAAGCTATGACGAGGCAGCTGTCCAGTACTCCCAGGTTTTCCAGTGTTCAGCTCACGATGAAGTCCTGTAACCAATCAAATCCCTACAAACCTGCACTTGAATACAAATGAAACAATTTCGCTGAGAACTCCTAACTTTCATTTTATAAAATCAAAGTGAATAAATTCCCTATATTATTACCTATTTTCTATTTGTAGGAATGGAAATACACTTATTACCGAATTTTAAGTTTTATCAGATAGAATCTGATATTATCTGATGAACTAACCTTGAAAATTCTTGATCGATCACTATTTACAGAACAATTTCAACATCGTGCATGTGTGCTACTGATAAGATTTGATGTCAGAGAGGGCAGATGATACAGCGTTGTGAAGAAACATGGGAAATGTGAAAGCAACACAAAGAAACACACGCAATATGAAGGCCAGAAGTAGTAAAACACGGTAGATCTGTGCAAATTGTGCATTGTGTATAAGGTGTACATAATTTGGCTGTGTAGAGATATTTTCTATAGTTTGGTTTGTAAGGGTTAGTTTTGTTTTTACAAGTTGATCATGGATTGATATCAGTTAGAGAACCATTGAAAACCAACACCGTATTACTGGACATCTGTTTCATCCTAGTTTTTGGGATTCGAATCCAGGATCTTCCGGTTACAAGGCAAGCTCGTATATCATTCAGACACTAGGACCCGATTCAATGGCTTATGAATTCTGACCTCTACCAATTCGTGATTTAGCGCGACCCCAATCAATGTCGTTTGTGGGACATCCAGCCTCACACTTGACGTCTGATGAACCTCACTGGTCACGACTTCTCACTAGAAATCCGGGAAACTCCAACCTGTAGCAAGTCACTAGCGAGCATCAGAGATACCAGGTCTTCGTATGAATAAAAAACTCCTCAACTGTGAATATACTATTAAAATCTATGACTTTAAATGCTTTTAAAGGAAAAAAAATAGGTTTAGCACACGAAGAGTTTGTTTTACTTACTGATATAAAAATACAATTTTCTCACACAATTCTCTGTTTGATTTAGCTTGTGAGTCTAATGTAAACCAAATCGCTCTAGATGACGCTGACATTTCGTTTATTTTTGTTCGATTATATCTTAACTGAGCTTCAATATCATTGCATAGTCCTTTGATCATTTTCTTTTTTTGACGTAAAAATTCAGCTTTTTCAAAAGTATTCATCTATCATTCAACAATGTGTGAAATGAAAATGTCTGTTGGTTAATAAGGTTAGAAACACTTTTTTTTAATTTACAGATTAAAGTTTTACAGACAATGTGTGTTGAATAATGTTATTGTATCATACATTAATTCAGGAAGTTAATCGACTTGAATTCTATGAAATAATCTTCATGAGCTTCTCACACACAACCTATTGTGTAATTCAGTTTAATTGCACTGGTACTTCTACAGTAACAACAGAAGACAAGGGCCAAAGCAGCATGGTTAGGCAGTCAATTATATAACTCTTTCACTTATACAAGTATTTGTGTTTCTGTCGTGTTTATAGATATAGATACTTCAACTGCTTGTTGTAGACTATATAATACCAGCTTTTTGGTCACTAGATAATTAGAACTTACATTAGCCATTATTATATGCATAGTTTGTTACTTACATCCATGCTTAGCTAGTATTGTAGCAACAGAAGACAAGGGCGAGGCTACAGATCCTTTATTACGGAAATCAACACATATTTATAGATTTTCGTGTACATCTTGATAGATTATTGTTAGCAGAAAAACACAGTCTTCTGATTGGTGGTTGTTTCTCACAGAAATTTAACTTTGCATTTCTTTGTGGCTGTTTCTTGAATGTCAGATCAAAGCCTTTGTTCTCATTTTTCTCACGACCAATATTGGGGACATAAATATTGACGTAAATTACTGTCCACCAATTTTGACTAACAGCCAGCTCTCACCACACTACTACGACTATTGTAACGTCAGAACACAAGAGTACTTGGCGAAGGGATTACTTATTAGCTGCGTCAAAATCACATATCCTCCATATTGTACTTATTTGTTTTCCTTTCATATGCTTCATGTTGTTTCACCAGTGTCGTTCATTTCTTCTCTTCTCTATGAATATTCTTGCAAATAGCATACATATTTACAACTCTGTATCTATATACTATTAACAAATCTAGATATGATGGAAAGGATTTGTAGCTCATACGGATGGTTTTGATGTAGTTGTGTTCTCTAAGTTGGATGGTTTATTTGCAAAGCTTTCATTACCCTACTAGGCAATATCTTCAGCACATACTTCGATTTGAAATGAGCTTTCACATTTCTCCATGAGCTTATGAGTCATCTCTCCTGGTGGGTCACCTTTTTTGTGTGTTTTCACACCCTCTAGGCTACTTGTATTTGTAATGATTGCTTCCTTGACCTGAAGTTTGATATTTTGCGTATGAGATTTCCTTCTTATCAATTAGTAAAGTTTGACTGTCACAACGTGTCTATTAATTGACGATTCATTGCAATACCAGCCTTCTAAAAATTCTCTGCCATTCTTGGTGTTTCCCCTGTCTAATATTTGAACGTTGTCCCAGTCGAATGGATGTCCGTGGTTGTATGTATGCAGTAATATGAGGGAGTCGATGTCATATCTTTTGACGGCTAGTTTATGTTTATGCATACAAACACGAAGAGGATGTCCACTTTGGCTAATGTAGTGTTTTTCGCAAGTTGTAACAATTAATTTTGTAAATGATGATGGTGGTTCGATTGTCTTTCACTGTTGAGTCTTTTGGTTGACACAGGGGGGAGTTAAGTGATTTTGTTGGTTCGTTTGCGACATCAATTCCTAAAGGTTTGAAGAGTCTCGCAGTGATTCCTGAGTTTTCTTTTATATATGGTAGGAGAATTTTCTTTGTGATTACCTCGGGAGTCTTTGATTTTGGTAGGTTAGCTTGAAGGTAGATGTCTTTTGATGAAATTCCATGGGTATCCATTCTTTTGAAAGACGTCTATGAGACATCTCTCTTCAATTTTCCTTAAGGTGGAAGTGCTGTAATGAGTCTTGGCTCTCTTGAATACTGTTTGTATACAACTCTTTTTGTGTGTTATTGGGTTATTGCTGTTGTAATTGAGTATTCGGTCTGTGTGAGTTGATTTTCTGCAAACTTTTCCTCTTCATTTTCTTTCCAGACAAATTTCTGGGTACTAATTTCGATATAAAATGGGTCTTTAGAACCCTCTTTAAATGAAACATTAATTCCTGGGTTGTCTGTAGGGATTTTCCTAGAAATATGTTCATTTCTACTCACACTGATCGTTTTGTTGAGTCGATATTGACCCTTTAGTCATGTGACTAGATGTCTGTTAATTGGTACAGTCAGTCTCCCGAGGAAATCACAAAGAAAATCACTTTAACATATACAAAATACATCTCAAAAATCACTGGAAGATTCTTCAAACTGCAAAAAAGATGAGTTGGTTCGACTCAGAAAATAAAAGTAACAGCAAACTGCAAATATCTACACATAAAAATGACTTTTTTGCATAAGGGTTGGCAATCCTTATACAGTACTTCTAATTATTTAACATTATCTACGCGCTTTCATTCTCAATAACAGTAATTTTACTTACTGTGATGCAAATACCTACAGTTTATGTGGGATAAACAGTGTAAAACAGAAGTGCTAGACTTGTTTACCAGTCACCGTAGAGCAAATACCATACAAAAAAACATCACATAAAAATATCTGTCTTTCCAAAATGATGCTGACTTATGTGGTTTTATAAGATTTAGATTTCTAATATGAACCATTCAGAAACCTAGATGATTCATGTTAAAATAAATGAATTTTTTCTAAGTGAAGAAAATCAATTAAGACAATTTTAATCAACATTTTAGTGATTCTTTTATTCACCTGTGAAAAGTTGTCAATCTCTGTACTTTTATCATCATCCAAATGGTCAATACCACCTAAAACACTCAACAAATTGAACAGTTTATTGATTGGAGTAACTTTATCAGTCTGTTTACCAGAATCCATTTGCTCTTTAATTCGATTAACCAGCTCATCTGGATTGTTTGCATCAATGTTAAATTCCCTTAACAACAAAAAAGACAAGTTTTTTTTAAAAAATATTAAAAGTCACATGTCTTTGATATTCATTTAGTGATAGATTAGCTGATTAAACAAACACTGAGAAATTATTTTGGTTAGAAAAATGAATAATTACACAGAATTTGAAAACGCAAAACAACAATGTTCAGTTGAATGAGGAGTCAGTATGTAACTTTTCAAAACGAAATCACTCAGGTAGGTATTATCAATACAAGATCTACAGTGGCGTGTGCCAGTGACAAGATTTGTAAGTAATTTACACACGTAGATATATATATGTATCATCTGGTAGAATATTGGGCTAAGTTCAAAAATAGCGCCCCAGGAGTGCGAACGCATGAGTGACCTTCGGCCGACCAATCAAAATATGAGGAACTTTTACACAAAAAGTGATGTATACTGACAGGAAAATGCTCGAAAACACATTAAACATGACTAAAAAATACGTTCCAGTTATAATGACGAGTATCAGTTGCTAAGTTAGACTACTTTCCGTGCATGCGTTCACCAAGGTGACTAAAGATAAGCTATTTTTCTGAATTGTTTTTCTCACTTATCCAGTTGCGTAGTCTTCCCCAAAAGCCCTCGGTTGGATTACTATGGTTTCCAGTAAGAGGATTGACAACTACTTACCAGGGAAATGCGAATAAGAAAACAAATTAAAATAAATGTCATCAACTCTAAATCTATTCATAGTGGTAACCCTAACCTTAATCCTAACACTAATTACAATCCTTATCCTAACCGTAGACATAACCCTAATCCTAACAATAACTGTGATCCTAACCCTAACGAGCTATTCACATATTGACCAAATAGAACTTAAAAACGTGATCTTGGTGAAATTCGCTCCTTAGTTGGTGAATAGCATTGATATTTCAGCGATCATAACAGGTCCCTTTAGCCAACGACTGGCATGCGTTCAAGGTGATTGGAGTGTTCGCACTCCTGGGACGCTATTGTTGAACTTCGCCGAATATTGAACAGTTAGGAGATAGATTTATAACGACAGAAAACAAGGGCCAGGCAGCAGATCGTTCACTGAAGAAATCAACAGATATTTATAGATTTTTATGTACATTATTATTCGCTATTGTTAGCAGAGAGGTAACGTCTTCTGATTGGTTGTTTCCCTCTTGAAGGTTATTCTGTCACTTCTTTGTTGCCGTTTCTTAGACAGTCTGTCGATATATCTGCGAATCCTACCCACCCACGCTTAGTCTGCTGTGATTAGTTGTTGAGTTAGAATTGGTTTTTGTTTTGTTTTTTTCATGAACAAGATTTGGGACGCAAACATTGACGTCTACCATTGTGGTGAGAGCAGGCTGCTAGCCAATTGGTAGACATCAATCTACATCAATGTCTAGGTCACTAATATTGGCCGTGAGAAAATATGAACAAGGCTGATTCAACAACAAATCACAGCAGACTTAACGTGGGCAAATATGATTCACAGATAGATGGCTCCATTTTCCGAGATTACCCGAAACAACCAAACAGAAGCCTGCGTTTGTCTGCTTAACTTCGGAGAAACAACCAATCAGAAGACTGCGTTTGTCTGCTTGAATAAGCTATAATAATGTACAGGAAATATATATAAATACGTGTTGATTTCCGTAATAAAACGATCTGTTGCTGGCCCTTGTCTTCTGTTGTTACACCATTGCTGTCTATCAGTTTTGGCTAGCAGACAGCTCTCACCACAGATTTAATGGCGAAGTGGAGAACGGAAGGATTTTTGTGAAACAACACAGACAAAAGAAGCACAATATTGGAGCACATGTGTAAATTGTTTTTCTGATATAGGGTACCTTAGCTCTATATCTGTACTTCAAGTTGCTGATAGACATTAACGTTGTCAAACACTTTTGCGTTTAGCCGATAGACTAGCATTACTCAGTGATGGTCACGATCGCTACAAATTATATATGCACATCTGGTAGAATGTGATAAAAGTGAAGGCTGTTAAAATATTTGATCGTAAATTGTAGAGTGCTGCGGTAAAAATGAAGGATATATTACCATATAGACAAAGATAAAGCATGCATTTCGCTGCACAATTGCATTTAGTACTGGGTCATATCAGCGTCCTTCTGTAACAATGGGTCACAGTGGTCATATAGATCTCAGCCAGAATATCAAATTAAAGTTTACTAACCAGTTCACAATTCACACAGTTCGAGGTGATTATCTCATCATCCTTTAGAAGTTGAGATTATTCAGATCATAATATGTAATGGGATTAATACCATGAATGGTAATTAAGAGACCGAGCGTAAATGCATGGCATTATACAATACTACTTAAATGAGATGAGTAGCCACAAAGTACTTATTTCAACCAGTAGTGTTAGATTACCATATCGAATGACCGTTCGGTGTTTAGACCACTTCGTTCTGGCTATCAAACATTACTGGTTGATACAAGTGGTATACAAATACTCATTTCAGTCAACAGTAGTATATAGTTTTAGATGCCAGTAAAAGAAACTTACAATTCCTTACACTGTTTGGCAAGACTACAAGTGATTTTATGAATTAATGTGGTGTGCTGGTCTACCACCCTTCCACTTCATACTCGCTTACTTCTAATCGCACAAGAATTAGAGTTTTAGGGGGAAACAAGATGGCATATACAGCATAACATCACAGCGTCTACTGATATGCTTAAAATCAATTAAAAGACTGTACTGTTCATTTTGTGGCTTTATCAAACACTGATAACGTTAGGATGACAATGACGGTTGAATAACTAAAGTCTCCTTAGAATTTCTAGCTATAATAATCATAATTTGAAAATATATGGAGGGATAAGATTCCCTTTTGCACATTGGAATCTACTCTTAGTGAATGTCAATACTTTTAGTCTTTTGAAGTCAAGATAGACACCTGTTACCGAACAAAGTATATCTGGATTGTAAGTATTTCATTTCATTTCCTATATGTTCTGTTTACCTCGATAATTTGGTTCTAAAACTATGGGCAATTAGGTTACTCAAAATAAGGTGCTTTTTGCCAGGTAGCCTACTTTGATACATTTAATAATACTGCAGCTGACATGAGTATGTTCCCAGTAAATTATAATAAGTACCAACTACACGACTAGTTAAGACGGTTTATATTGTTTAAACAGTAAGGATTTAGCCGATGAAATATTCATTCACTGTAAGTACTTCATCACTAACCTTGTTGCTTATCAACTTATTACTTAAGTCCCAGACAATTTGGTATAAAAAAATAACACGTAACACCTAACAGCTTATCAGTTTTGTAGTAGTCACATAACCTTTAAGTAGCTAATAAATGACAGTTTTTGAAAATCATTTACACATTCATTAGTTTGAAAACTGTATGAAAATAGTTTCTTTGTCTTTTAGCATACTGATTTATTATAATAAAAAGTTAGTATGTTAGTTAGTAAGTGTTCGTTGAAATTTAGCCTCCAAAGACCTTCCCGATAGATGAACAAAATACATCTACTGGCCATTGCATTCATAAAATCTAGAAGTGGCCAAAAACCAGATCAAACAATCCCGTACTATAACAAGAGCAGGCTTAAATACGATCAAACCAGAGTAGACGAATTAAATCGCTGGGCAAAGCTAGTGGTAATGTCTCTGCAGCACTGGGTGACGCGGGACATGAGTTCATTCAAGGTTGCAGATACGCCTTGCTGACAAGTGCCAACTAACACGAAACCTAAGTCCTAGGTTTCCTGTCGACTACCTCCAACCATCTGATAAAGGCAGGATATTCACTACAGTGTGATTGAACAGCCTAGAAGCCCTACCATATGCAATCAACACATACTTGGCGGTTTGTTGGCTTAACATTCTAAAGTACGTAACATTTGTACATAATGTACTTTTGTATAACAAAATCGAATTAATCTCTCCAGCATTGAACAATCCCTCGTCTATCCTTGTTTGTGTGGGGTAAGGAAGGTGGGGTGTTTTACTGATTAATAATTGACATCTGTTTTTTTTTCAATTGATTCACCTATTTTGTTTTTAGTATCAAACACATAAATCGACAGTATTATTAAATCATCACAGGCACAACAGTACACAGATGTGAAAACTGTGTGGTCCCATTTTATTATACGTTGGACTGCTTTATTCTTTTTCTATTTGCAGAAAGTAGTACTACAATTTATAGACAGATTTATCTAGAACTATGAACATTTTTAATATTGTGAAACTATTTTCATACCGAGATAACTAATTTTCACTATGGTTTATCACATTTTATTTTTTACAGGATTTCATCATGAGCTGACATCAATTAGAGAACCATTGGAAAACTTGTGAGTACTGGACATGTTTTGTCTTATTTTGGACTCTTCAGCAGCACGTACCCACTGGGACTCTAACCCAGGACCTTCTGGTTACGAGGCGAGCTCGTATACTATTAAGCCACTTTGACTCACAGGAGGTCCTGGGTTCGAACCCCGGTGATTGCGTACTGATGAAGAGTCCCAAACTAGGACGAATCAGCTGTCCAGTACTTCCAGGTTTTCCAATGGTTCTCTAACTGTTGTCAGCTCATGATGAAATCCTGTAGCCAGTCAAATCCCTACAAACCAACACTTGAATATTTTATTTTTATTTTGGAAGTTTTTTTGAATTCGGATTATTTTTGTCACTACCGAGTTTCCTTTCAATTTGGTATACGAATGTAGAAGGTTGGGGTTTCGATTGCATTCTCACAATGACAACCAGTCTTTTACTCAATCTATTTTTGCAACAGTGCCACTAAAACATTTAAGTGAGGATTAATCGTATGCAATCTTTTTTATTTGACAGATGAATCCTTTTTGCCTCGATTATTTTATGAAAACATTTTGACAGAATCTACACTTATCAATAAGATCTTTTTAGGTTGTATCCCGCTTTTAAATAAACATGAATACTAGTCTAAGTGAACTGCCAATCTGCATAAACATTTCATTTAAGTGAACATTTTATAAATCGATAAAGTAATGCACTTACTTTGCCAACAATAAAAGAATTTCTTCAGCCATTACTGATTTACTTGAATCTTCCAGGGCTAATAAAAGATTTTTAAGGCTTAAAGATGGAGCAGGCGTAGCGTGTAACTCATCTGTTTGCTGGATTAAAAATTGTTTTAGTTTTGATGTAATTTTTTCTCTCTCCTGTGTAGGTGATAACTTTCGTAGTATAGTAGGCACTTTTAGCTGTCCTGTAACAGGATCTCTTTCTACTTTGGCTCTTTTTACATCATCGCGTACAACATGTTTTCTGACTGCTGCTTTCAAGCTTTTTAACTTAGGCTCTTTTGAAACTATATCTTTCTCTAAACTTTCACTTTCAATACCTTCTTCAATCTCTTCGGCTTTTCGTATACGCTTATAAGGTTCGATTGCTTGTCGCTTCAATGATGATGTACTCTCTGATTGAGATAATTCTGTAGGTGATTTCCGGCGTTTTACTTTCTTTGTTTTAGGAGTACCAGATGGTTTTTCTTTATGAGCACGTTTCACACGTCTTTTAAGCTCTGAAGTCATTCCATCTGCCTCCGTTTCTAAGAGATCTTCTAACTCTAACTGTGAATCAGTTGTTTCATCTGTTGCAGATGAATCTAACACTTTTTTTTGCTTCTTTCCAGGTTTATGTTTCTTTTCGACAAGTTCCTCCTAAAAATGCGGTAATTAGATTTATTTTAAAGTTAAGAAATAAATTTTAAATCCCCGTATTTTTGTAAAAGAAACAAAACTATAAGATGACAACCTATGTTATAAATTCGTGTTATCAATGTAGGTGAATGAAATTAAGACGATAAAAGTAAGAAATTAGTAACTCATAAAAACTGTGCAGTTTTAATTTCATCTATGGTAGAAATAATATGAAGAATCTGATTAAAATATAAGTAGTGTTGTTTATTTGTGTTTCCTTACTAACGGTAATATTAGTGTGTATTAAGTTCTTTCTAGTCATTAAAAAAGTGTATATATATGCTCAGAAATATGAATATTCATTTGGAGAAAGCCCTTGAAAAACCTTACTGTTAGTCGTTAGAAGAAATGATTTGTGCGGTGACATTTCAAAGAAGAAACCTACAACTGACGATTTCAAGATACTAAGGTTTACCATATATATCGAGAGAGAGGTCAACAGCACTAAGCATCAAAAATAAGATCCAGATTTTCAACTCCGATGTGAAGTCAGTGCTACCTGCCATACTGACGTGTCATAAAGAGCATCTCAAACAAACTACAGACCTTCATTAACAGCTGTCTTCGCTCAATACGAGTCAAGATCAGATTGCCAGAAAAGATCAGCAACAGGGATCTCTGGGAGCAAACCAACACAGCAGGAACCGATTGTGCAACAAATAAGCGGGAAGAAATGGAGATGGGTTGGCCATACGCTGAGGAAACCATCAAGTGACATCACTAGACAAGCCATTGCTCGAGTGGAACCCGAAAGGGGAGCGGCAAGTTGGTCATCGTCGTGATATATATATATATATATATTACAAAAGGGATTTTTCTTCACTCTTGAAGAGTAAGCGAATTAGGTGGGAAGAGCTGTTCAATGCTTTTTGGTTTTCGATGTGCGTCGGTAGCACAGCAGTTAGGACGGTCACCGATCATGCACTTAGTCCGGGGCTAAATCCCCGGCCCTCGTATTAATGGTAGGCCTGCAAAATTTGTGCTGCCGATATCACATGCTGAAAATTCCATACTTGCACCAAAAATAATGTATGGAATCGAGTTATTATAAATAAAAATAATAAATAAATGATGTCAATTCATAATGAAATCTAAGTTGAAACCAGTCAAACTCTCAAATGTGAATGCTTGAAAATGAATATTTATTTCACACGAATATTTTATTAAGACGTAAAGAAGTGGTAGTATATCCGCCTAAGACTTCCCAGATGCTGGAGATGGACCACGAATCAAGTTCAGTACTCAGAAAATGAAGAAGGGAACTACGGAAGAACACTTCACTGCAGCCATCAGGGAAAAGTCGGAGACATTGTGTGGCATCACTGGAGGAAATCTAATTGTCAAAGAGAAGAAACAAAAAAACAGTAGACTAATCTTTTAATTGACTTTTGAATCGACCACCACTTACAATTTGTTCAGAAATACCACCAACATGGCCAGAACTGCCTACGACAAAAGCAGCAATCTTGAATGTCATAAGGTTAATGAAAGCCGAAAATGCCGTAAAACCAAAGTGGAATTTCACCAGAAGAACTGTAAACAAACACTGAGATCTAGGCAGACATGCTCACATAATTATTCCGGAAGATTAGGAGGTAGGAGGGCACATGTCGATTGGTAGAGTGGGTATCTTGTCATAATACCAAAAAAGCGACTTAGTCCTTCTCAAAAACTAGTGCTGAAACACGCTCTTGTTCATGCTAAGCAGAATATTGAGTCGCGTCATCCTGGAGAGACTAAAAAATGCATTGGATACAGAATCCAGCCTCGAAGAAGCCACATTGAAGAGGAGCAAATCATGTACGGATCAAACTGCAGATCTACGCTTCATTATCCAGCAGAGAATAGGATGACAGTCAATTTTCTACCTAAACTTCATTGGCTTTAAAAAGACCTTCAGTAGCGTTGACCGCGAAGGGGTGCGGAAACTGCTTCAATACTGCGGAGTAACTCGACAGCTATATAACAATGACACATGTCAATTAATTCACAACGCACAACTCAGTAAAGCCTCTGAAGTGAAGACAAGAGTATGACATGACTGCCTGCTATCAATGATGATATTTCTGATTTTGGTGAACTAGATCATGGGGAAAACAGTAGGAAGCGAGAAGATAGGAATACGTTGTGCTGACATGAAGACCATGGAAGATTTGAACTTTGCAGAAGATTTATTTCTACGGTCAAACACACTCAAAGATCTACAGGCGAAGACAAATAAGTTGTCAGAAGCAGCAGCAGGGCAGACAGGATTTCGAGTGAACATAGGGATGACAGAGGTGATGAAGATCACTAACTGACTAATAACTAACAACAAACACCAATCACTTTCAGCAGAATAAATTTGAAAGGGGTCACTTCCTTCACTTATCTGCTCAGTATCGTTTCAACTACAGGTGCCAACACGGATGAGGATGTCACAGCCAGGATCGGAAAGGCAAGGCACTCTGTAACTACTCTAAAATCAGTATGGAAATCCGCTGCACTCAGCAAGATGAATAAGATCTTGTTTTCTCGCACTATTTCAAGTCAGTTTGTCTGCACGGTTCGAAGACTTGGCGCGTCAAGTGAAGCATTTCCAACAAGCTAAAAGTGTTTATCATTGGCTGTCTTTGCCCCATATTAAAGATTGGATGACCAGAAAGTATAGGCGACAGCGAACTCTTGCAATGAACTAACCAAGAACTTATTGCACAACAAATATTCAGAAAAAAACGAAGATAGGTCAGACACCCACTGAGGAGACCGCCGAGTAACATTATGCACCAGGCCCTGGAGTGAAACCCGAATATGAAACAGTGAGTTGGGAGTCCGAGGTTGACGCATAGGAAATCCTATGGAGAGAAGTTGGGAGACTATGGGCTATCATGAAGCCAGGTGAATAGGAGTGCAGATAACAGGATGAAATGGATGTGTACTGTTGAAGCCCTATATTGCACTTGAAGCCTAAAGAAATAATAACCAATAACTACAGTTAATTGTGTCACGCTGGCTAAGTAGTGTTCTAATTTCAACAGTGATCTCGTAGGTTTAAATGCTATATTATGTTCAACTTTTTCATTGTACCTCTGTGGCGTTTCTGATGAAATTAAAGTCTTTAGAGAGATCTACAGGTGGAAACAAACAAGTTGTCAGAAGCATTCTGAGTGAACGTTAAGAGGACAGAGGAGATTAAGATATCTTACCAACAACAACAGGAACTTATCACTATCGACGGGAAAAATTAAAGGAACTCGTCTTTTTCACTTATTTAGGCAGTCATGTTCCAACTACAGGTGACAACGAAAAAGATGTTTAGGCTAGCCAGGATAGGAAAGCCATATGGATCTTTATTATTCTGAAATCATTTTAGAAATCTGCTTCACTCAGCATAAAGAGTAAGATCCGGATTTTCAACATAGATGTTAATTCACTTCTTCTATATGGTCCAGAGACTTAGAGCGCCACAAAAAGCATTTATACCAGGCAATTGCCTTTTATTAACACTCGCCTCCAAGCCATACTGAAGATCAGATGATCGGTCAGAAAGGAGAAGTAACAGGGAACTCGGAGAACGAACAAATCAAAACCTTATCTCCCACCAAATATTCAGAAGGAATTGGAGAAGGATTGAACATATACTGAGAATATCATATAGTGGAACCTGAATGGGAAAGGATGACTTGGTCGTCCAGATGTGACATGGAGGTGATCGTGTGAGGATGAAATGAAAGCTTATGAAAAGTCATAGAGCCAGTTGAAAGAGATTGCGAAGAACAGACTTAAGTGGAGTTGTTCCACTTGAGGTCCATGGGAATAATAATAATAGTTCACCTTATCATAATGCTGCTTAATTAGATGTTTGTTTAATTTGTCTGGTTCAGCTATAAACATTATTAAAATTCCCCATAAAGTTTCGTTATTTTGGTTATTAAAACATCAAATATCATGTTAAATATAGTCAACTAAAGACTTATGAAAAGAAAGATTAAACTTACGTCTACTGCCTCAAATGAAAGAAATGCCTCCTGTACATAAAAAAAGAATGCAACATACATTTCATCAGGTAAGATAAAAGAAATTTTACTATTTGAATAGAGCAAGAAGACAGTTTGTTCAGAATAAGATAGTACCATCATTGCTTATTTCGTTGGCTTCTCATCAGCTGCTTACAGCCTATAAACATAATTAAGTTTATGTACATTTGATAGCCAGAAAAGCGTTAACATACTTGCAAATTTTACATGATGTCAGTTGACAGGAGATTCCAAACCTAGTGAACAGTGCTGTGAAAATTAAACTTATTTAGTTTTTACACATGGAGTTCAAGTTTAAATGAATTCGGTCTATGCATACAATGGTAATGGAGTTACGTAATAAGGACGAGAGGTGCGTAAGATGATGCGTAACTAATTAATTGGGTAACAGTGTGCTGAATTCAGCTCAGGTCATAGAAACAAGAGACAAGCATAATTACACCATATCAAGAGGAGTGAGGTTAAAGCTAAAGATTGATTGACCAAATGATTACGTAATGATGATGCCATATTATCTTTTACAAACTGTTGTTCTTGCTCTATTGAGATTCATAAAGGAGAATAAATATATGAAATTCATTATATTTATTAGTTCATTCTCCTGTTTATATCCATATACAAATTATGGTGCATAAATTCACTGATGTGAAGTATAGTGAGTGAGTTATACAATCTTGGATACGTTTGAATTATTCCACGTTTTTAATATGAAATCACCTGAACTTAACTGAATTTTCAAAAAGAAACTTTGCACAAAATCTCTACAGTTCAACTTGTCACACTCAATAAGGCGCACATAACTGTGGAGTGCAGAAATATAAAAGAAGTGTAATAAAAGGAAATGTTTAGGAGGAAATAGTCGATTTGAGAGTTCATGAGAGTTAAATGTATTTGGGCCACTGATAACCATTTTGAGCCATTTCACTAACAGTCTTCAGTCATTGGTTCTTAACCCCACGAAGACCAGACATTGGTTTCATTTCGCTTAGACTTTAATATAGCTGAAAATATTGTTCCTCAATGTTGGTCTGAGAACTTTAAGATTAGAATTAAACTGTTCCTTTCTACAATCCAATAATCTCTATACTATGAAATGATAGAAACTGAAGATTGGGTTGTACTGATCTGTGTCAATTAATAATATTCATTATTATTATGGTTATAGGGATAAGCTGTTTATTTTATGATAACCAAAATACGTCCGATATCTAGTACTGTTTGCGAAACAGTTCACTCACTACTTCATATATCTGTGGTGAGAGCTGTCTGCAAGCCACAATTGTAGATAACAATTTACGTCTATGTTCACGTCCCGAATCAGGGTCATGGGGAAAACAGTAAAAAGGCTTAACCTTGAGAAAATCACCAGCCACTCACAGAGCAGGCGAAGTGTGGAAATAATAACAGAATAACCTTCAACAAGAAAACAACCAATCAGAAGAGGTTGCTTGTCTGCTAAAAATAACGCTATTAGTAATGCAGATAAAATTCTGTAAATACATCTTGATTTTCTCAATAGACAATCTGTTACCTGGCCATTGTCTTCTGTCGTTACAAATATATATATATATATATATATATATATATATATATATATATATATATATATATATATATATATATATATATATATATGGTAATCTAAGAGTACTTTATACTTACCTCAAGTAATTCCAGATGATCATTTACGACAGTACCAAAGTTATGCAAGATTGTAAGCGCAGAAAGTGCATAAACAAATGCATTTTCCCTGTCTTTTGGTTTGGCATTTCTAGATTCTTTTACAATCTGATAACACTTTCCAAAAAGCTTTTCAGCATAACCTATAATTTGTTCTATGCATGCCTTGGTTAAACCAAACTGCCTGTAATTGTGATGAATGAAAAAAGTACATTTAACTTTTGAAGACTAAAGTAGAGAGATTAGAGCAACTAGAGTAATAATTAAAGACAACTGACTAAGAGTTGTTCACGTCAGGAATATTGAAATATCTTGTAAAATGGATCGTTTCTTTTAGCTAATTAGACTAAATACTTTGACCTCATTTCAATTTAACCAAGAGGAATTCATGTTTTGATGATTAAAATATGCGAATTTACTACCACCGAGACCATATATTTATTCAGTGGTACATTAATAACTTAAATGCCTTTCATGAGTTGTGCTCTTTGACACTCTAATCGCCCACACTATCAGAAGGAATCTCAATGGTTCACCTACCCCATTATAAGCCACTGGCTTGATTTGAAACCGTATATTCTTCTTCATTGGCCCAATAGTACCTTAATTCCTGAAGCAATAGATATGGTTCATTCTTCAGCTCATAAAAATTCTCTCCAGAATAAGGGGGCAGCACTATGCACGTAGTACTTGTGGTGAACAATATTTTATCAGTCTGAAATTCTCAGAAAGTTCACACACATAATGTAGTGTCTCTTAACCGTGCTTTATTTGATATATTCACTCACGTATTTATTGGTAAGTTAGAAATACTTTTCAAGCATAAAGTTACATAATTATGATATAAAACAGACCTATTTGTTATCAAACAAGAAACTGCATTTCTAATCAAATTTTTAAGAAGACAGTTGCAGCGAAGAGAATTTTCTTTTCGACGAAGTCATCATCTAGCCTGTACATTCGTGTATTTATATCAAATGGGTGGGAAAGTTCCAGAATAATTTCCGGTTAAGGGTTAAATTAATAAAAATTACAATTAGGAATTCAAATGCCATAATAAACAGGGGGAAGGATAAAACTCAAACAAAGTAGCATCATAATTACTAAGGCGATTGACATTGTGTAATTGGGGGTTAGAAATGTAGAAATAACAAAATAGACAGGATGTTTGGATAAAAAACTAATGTGATGAATAATTGTTTATGCAATCAGGGATTAGATGTGTAGAAATAGTAAAATAACAAAATAAACAGGAAGTTCGGATATGAAAATATGGTAGTGTAAACAGGGATTAAGAAAAACTTAAAAATAACATGAAAAACAAGAAGTTTAGGTACGAAAGGCGATGGGATGGCCATTACTAAAAAAATACCTGTTTATGATGGCCAAGTAATAAACAAGATTCAGTCAAATCTATCAAAGGGAGTGGAAATAAGACATCTGGGCATAGACGAGGCACTAGCTATCCAAAAGCTCAAACCCATGCTATGTATCCAAAAGAAAATACATCCAACCTCTGTCCCTGCCTTGGCCATCATAAACAGGTAATTTTTTAGTAATGACCCTCCCATCGCCTTTCATATCTAAACTTTCAGTTTATTTTGTTATTTTACTATTTCTACATATCTAATCCCTGATTGCATAAACAATTATTCATCACATTAGTTTTTTATCCAAACATCCTGTCTATTTTGCTATTTTTACATTTCTAACCCCCAATTACACAATGTCAATCGCCTTAGTAATTATGATGCTACTTTGTTTGAGTTTTATCCTTCCCCCTGTTTATTATGGCATTTGAATTCCTAATTGTAATTTTTATCAATTTAACCCTTAACCGGAAATTATTCTGGAACTTTCCCACCCATTTGATATAAATACACGAATGTACAGGCTAGATAATGACTTCGTCGAAAAGAAAATTTTCTTCGCTGCAACTGTCTTCCTGATAACTCCTATGACCCAATATGTATATTTCGTGAATCAAATTTTTATATTAACACTTAAACGATGCTTAAGATTTAATTTGTGTAAATTAATATTAGCAATGGAATCTCTCTTAAGTTGTTAAACAGATTGTATTATCCAAATTCCTAATACTCAGTATTTTTATGCTAGTGCTGGCCAAATCTACTTGGTTGAACCTTTATTATTAATGCAATGAAGATACCTGATAAATGAACAAATAATGAAATACCAATGAATACTGTGATCTAGAAGTTAATTCAGATTTCTAGATTTATTACTCTTGAATCGAGCGAGATATGGTGACAAGAAAGAATACTCTTAGTTACTATCTTTTCTAGCACACTCTAGAGTAACATCTCCTTATAGTTCAAAACAAATATTTTAGTGAATAGGACCGTAACAAGTAGCACAGTTCAAAATGACTGATCTTCAAGATGAATTATATTCGCTGTCTTCGAGTCGCACAATTCATGGTGAAAATTTAGTTTTTGAAAAAAAACCAGAATTTTCGAATTACAGCGTACTACTTTCGTGATACCATAAATGAAGACCTAGAAAGCAAGCATAATTGCACAATGATGTGTACTACTGACTGATTTAAGTACTTGGCAACTACTTGCGTTTTTCACTATTGCTTGTCAATCAGATCGAAATGATCTATTTCATTCGTTTGGAGCCGATCTCACAATGCGCGCCCGGTATAACTCACCTCAGGGAGTTGAATCTATCCAAACCATCTGAATTTTGACCACCATCTTGACTAATTGGTGACAAAAAGTCCATCTCCATTTGTTTATTTACAAACTGCAAATCTGTTGCTATGTATTACCAGTTCGGACAGAATTCAGGTGATTTGAACGGACTCAACTCTCTGAGCTGAGTTGAACTGAGTACACCACTTCTGAACTGGACCTCAAATGAGCGAAACGATCGTCCAATGTTAAATTAACTTCACTTCAACTGCTTAACGTCAGCGGTTTCCAGTTACCGAGATCAGTCGATCAGTAGTACATGGCGTGATGAAATGAATATAGGTTCTTCAAGTGATAATTTTATCTAACAGGAGGACCTCATCATGTATCCACATTATCCTATCTACACAATTTTCGAGTAACTTCATTTTTTATACTCAATAAAGTGTTTGTGATTAGACAATAAAGAAATGTGACGCCAGTTACACTGTCATAGAATAGTTTAAATTTTTATGATATTATTGATAATTTGTGTAATGAAAACAAAGTATTTTGTTTAATAAGGTTACTTTTACTTAACTTTTTAAAATAACTAATGCTATTTCAGCTTCACGCAGCTCCTCTACATCTTTAATACGACATAACTGTTTAAAAATATTCTTTGCAATAACTTCTTTTTTTATATTCTTTGACTGACTTGAAAACCATTTGCACTCAGTAATCTCTTGCAGAAAATCACTCTGACTAGTCTCCTGTGTAAAATTAAGATAATAGCATCATATTATTATGATTACTTTTTTTACGCTAGAAAATACTCATCAGCACGTGAAAGGAAACAAGAAATTTGGCAAAAATATCTTATCAACAAACATATTCTCAAAAGCTTTACCTTCTCAATTTACACACATACATGGTTTCGCATACTTACAATCATAATTTCACTCAACATAGAAACAAAGGTGAGATTAAAGAAGAAAATAATAACTTTCAACTTGATATGAAAGTTTGCAGTTTTGATGAGAAATGGACATAAATCACAGGGAACATGGATGACGAAATAATGCAGGATGGAGAAAATAGTTACATTATATGTAAGAAAACAGTTTTTAACGTAGACAAGCGTAAACGGATTGTGTATAGGAACAAACAAACAAACAGAAATAATACTTTTATAACCGAAGATGAAAAGCTTGTAGGAAATGAAACAAATTGAAACTAAGATACCAAACATTATCAGAGCCGTCGTATACGCGAAGGATAAACTAGCTTCTTTTGAAAGAATATCTCCAGATTTTAAGCGTACGGTGGATTTCTGTTTGCTAACCAAAGCAGACAGTGAGTCGGTTGGGATGTTGTGACAAGTGTTGACATGTTGTTCCATTATAGCTTTGGGTAGTGCTGTCTGACTCCATATTAGTTTGTTTATTAGATGTATCACACAGTGAAACAGTAATTTACTGGATGAAGTTTTGAACATAATTTATTGTTCATAATCATATCAACTGTAATCACACGACTTTGAAACTTGAGTTTTATAGTTTTCTTTGTTCTCTCCTATTTGTCTTCATTGAGGTAGTAGAATTTTCTAGATATCTGGATGGACGGGTGTTGAATCATTCCTATTACATGTATTTGCATTGGGTTCGATAAACAAAGCTTCTGTTATCAATCTCTCCCTTCATACTGTAACATTAGATTTTAAATCTGTCCTCTTATCCCATCCACAGTACGCAAGTTTTACACATATATTAATAGGGCTGTCTGACATTTGTTGAAAGAACGCTAAAAATATGATCTACATACTCAAGAGAACTAATATACACAACTTCGAGTGATCGTTCTTGGGAGTTTGACCTTCAAACTGCTTAGAAGCACTGGGTTGTATGGAATTAAGAAAAAACAGTCTTTGGGTGGACTAGAGATTCGCCATAATCAAGGCACTGGATTGCGTTCCTCTCTTTATAGACTTGGTTTGATTATTCACAAATCGTGCCAGATATGCAAAATCAGCTAGGAACTAGTAATGTTTGCTTTTCTAGTTTCGAATGGTTTCAATTCCTACAAGCTTTTCATCTTCGGTTATAAAAGTATTATTTCTGTTTGTTTGTTTGTTCCTATACACAATCCGTTTACGCTTGTCTACGTTAAAAACTGTTTTCTTACATATAATGTAACTATTTTCTCCATCCTGCATTATTTCGTCATCCATGTTCCCTGTGATTTATGTCCATTTCTCATCAAAACTGCAAACTTTCATATCAAGTTGAAAGTTATTATTTTCTTCTTTAATCTCAAGGCTTCCTGCCGATTGCCTCCAACCATCTAATACCAACAATTCACAGTGCACCATAATGGCAAGCCACCTAGCATGGTGGCCACATTGCAAGCTTGACTGATAGAATTTAGTCTACAGCGAAAATAGGACTAGACACATTACACTAGTTGCTGACTAGTGTGCAATCAAAATGTTTGGTATATTATGTAGGGATGAATCATTTTTACTTCAATTTATCCATGAGGAATCATTCATTTCTAATTACTAATCAATATATCTGCTAAACATCAGATGCATAAAAATGAATTTACTATTTTAGATACAGAATAGATCAGTTATCTATCAGTCATACAGTCACTAAGTGTGTACATGTTTTGAGGGGAGTTTAATGTATACCTAAATATTTCAAAATGCCTTCAAATATCTTTCAGGATTCATATTCATCCAAGTTTTCTTCTTGTATCGTCTACTTTATACACACTGACACAATATTTTGTAATTTGGTTTATTTTTTTCAAATTATTAAAATTTTAAGTATGGTAATTTATGGTTTTCATTCATTGAAACATTTATTTGTAAGTTGCATACATACAGAATTTTTTTATTTCTCTACGTTCCCAGTAGAATATAGAGCTTCAGGCTAGTGGCTTGAAGCTTCTGTAGCAGTGGTGATTATTTTTACAGGATAGGGTTGCTAGCCCCATGCCAAAACTTTCCTCTTTACCAGTCTTACTACTGCCTTAGCGAGGTAGAGGAGTTCATCGGCCGGAGATCGAACCCCGGACCATATGGGCGTGGTCGGCGAGCTTTTTACCGCTGTGCTACCGACACACATACAGAATTCTAGTGTATGATTATAACTAAATCCAAATGTGTAGTATTCTTGTATAGAAATATCTAATAAGCGATAAAAATACAAGAATATCCTGAGAATTTGTTATCCTCAGGAAACTTGGTTCCTTCACATAGAATATGAATTCATTGAACAGTTTTTATTTAACATAGTGTAAAATTAAGTATTCATTATTACGATAACAAAAGCAATTTAGAATAACAGCATTTTTGAGCAGTCTATATTTATTTTTGTTTCTATGTGTATCTACCACTTTGACTGTTCCCGTGGAGTCAGTTAAATAGGCCGTACAATCAGGTGTGTTCATCATCGGATTCCCGAACATCATTCTGCCTAGTTAAGTAAAGGACAAACAAAATCCATGCATAGGTCTATTCTAACTAATCTTGTGGATACAGAATATAAGATTGTTGTTAACGAGGCTTTCAAAGTCTTAATTTTACCTTTAGAGTTCATCTACTACATATTACTGAGGCCGTTGGGATCCACATTAAGAAGTTTAACTTATGTATGCGAAAGAAACTGGTTCAGACACTGTCCTTCCCCTCCTGCCCGTCAAGGGTTTAACTATCCTTAATTTGTTGCGGAAATTTCCTTAATTTAATATAATATTCTATTTGCTATTACACTTTTATGCTTATTATAATTTATGCATCTCTGGTGAACTGTAATTCCACTGACCTTAATCAACAATTCGACAGTATTAAAAAAAACACCAATATTGTGAATGGCGACTATTCTAGAATATTATATATATATATATAATCGTTGATCCCGAAGAGGAAATTATCGAAAAGGATATTCTTTGCTCAATTTGTTTTTTTTTCAGTAAGCCGTTTGCACTATACTTCAGGCACTCATTCAATGTCCTTAGTGCAACGGGATACTTACAATATTTCAGTAGTTTGTGTAAAAAGAAGAGGCATATGGAGGCATCATGGAACTTTAAAAAACCATTTTGAGAATGGAAGTAAATTAGGAATTTATTATCAATAATAATATGGAAACTTACTATTGGTGGGATTTCTTCCATTTTGATAATATCCTCTAAACATTTTGTTTTTGAAAACCAAAAATAAAATCATGTTAACTTATGATAAAAACTTATTATTTACTGTTTGACATAACCATCATAATCCAAATATCATTAAACAAATAAATATTTCTTCTGTTGATGTCAGATGGTTGGAGGCAATTGGCATGAAGCCCTGCTTCAACCCATGTTTCGTGCTAGTTCGCACTTATCAGTCAGTCAGCAAGACGCATCTGCAGCCTTGAAGGAATTCATGTCCCTACTGAAATCCTAACATGCGTCACGCAGTGAGTGCTGCACTCAGAGAAGTTACCTCTCAGGTATTCGAGCTAGCGATTGACTCCCTGTAGGACTGTATTGGGTACTTTGATTGCACACTGATTAGTAAATGGTATAATGTGTTCAGTCCTTTCTTTAGTGCAGAGTGCATTCTATCAATCAGGTTTGCAATGTGCCGACAATTTTAACATTAACAATTCAAAATGCACAGTGATGGCAAGCTAACTAGAATGGTGGCCACATTGCAAACCAGACTGACAGAATTCAGTCTGCACTAAACAAAGGACTGGACACATCACACTGGTTACTAGTGTCCAATGAAAATAGTTCTTCTTCCTAACAGTCCTGATAGTATATAAAGGAGATCTGGTCAGTAAATATTAAATTTTAAAAGATTTTTCGAGGTTTAGACTAAGTTTCGTTGCTAAAAATTGCTGAAGCAATGGATTAGTTTATCTTCTCGTTGTTCACGAAATTCCTAGTAACAAATTTTGCTGAAAATCGTTCAACTTCATATAAAGAAATAAAAAAGGATCGCACAGAGTAATTACGTCTGCGCCATGTCACCACTAGTTGCTAACCAATGGTTTCTAGAATCAGGAGGACCTCATCAAGGTAATCTATACCATCCAAAGTAGGCCAGACTAAGTATCATAGATTTCAGGTATTTGCAACATTTTTGTTTATTATTATTATTGTTTCCTTGGGTTCCTAGTGGAACATATGGCTTCAACTGCACGTCTCCACTTGCTTCTGTCTCTCTTCCGCTGTACTTTTCACCTGCATCCATGTTAGTCCATACTCTTTCAACTCCTCTTCATACGATCTCCTCCATGTCACCCTCGCACTGACGTCCCACTCGCCGCTTCCCTTTTGGCCTGGTTCCACTCCAGCAATGGCCTGACGCGCGCGCGATGTCACCCAGGGCCTCCTCAGCGAGTGTCTAATCCATCTCAGTCCACTTTCAGCAACATATTTGTTGGTTAGCGATTGTTTCTTTTCTTGATTCTTCCCATAGTTTCCTATAGTTGGTGATTCTTTCCGGCCCGGCTATCTGATATTCAATATAGAGTGAAGACAGTTGTTGGTTGATAAAGGTCTGCAACAGGCTGTCGGAAACATTCTTTGTGACCCGCCCACCAAGTTTCTCATCCGTATAGAAGAACTGACTGGCTCGACGTGTTTGTATTGAAAATCCCACCAAGTTTTGTTGTTGATGCTGGCTGAGTTACGAAGATTTCCAGATTGGTTTTAGGTCGATGAATGTGTTTCTCGCCTTCTCGATTCTTGCTCGATTTGATATCCTCGTCCGTTCCGACTTCCTGTAGTTGAGACAATGCTCCCAAGATAAGTGAAGTGAATGAAGTAACTCTTTCAAATCCCTCCCGTTGATGGTGATTGCTGTTGTTGTTTTGTTGGCTGGTTATTTTCATAACCTATGTCTTGTCTATGTTCACCTGGAGTCCTGTCTTCGCCCTGCTTCTTCGACCAGTTTGACGGTTTTCGCTTGTAAGTCTTCGATTTTGTGTGACATCAAGCATAAATCATCGCCGCGCGAAATCCAGGTCTTCTAGGTTCTTCGCGTCAGTCCAGGATATCCCTGTCTTCTCGTTTCCCACTGTCTGACGCATAATCCAGTCATTCCACCACAATTAGGAATATCATTGATGATAATAAGCACCCTTTTCTGACTCCTGTGTTTATTCCAAACGCCTCGCTGAGTTTTCCGTTGTGGATCACTTGACATGTGTCGTTGTCGTACAGCTGTTGAATGAGGTTGATGAACATTTGGGGTACGCCGTAGTACTCGAGTGGTTTCCAAATTACTTCGCGGTCAACGCTATCAAAGGCCTCCTCAAAGTCTATGTAGTTGAGGTAGAGGTTTGACCAACTCAAATTCTTTTACAACCTAATTTCGCTTCGGATAACACTTATATGTGTAATATCTGTAAGATCATATAATATACGTTTGTACACTTTTCGTTTATTCATAGTTTATCCTTATAAAACGAACACTTGCATTTTAATATCTCTTGTCCAAATAGCTTTAAACGTGGTCTACTCAGGACTCTGTACTATAGAGAGAGGAGAATATGCTCTATAGAAAAACTAGAGGAGGAATTTGAGTCCCTTGAAAAGATATTGAAGAGCAATGGGTACCCTCAAAGGTTCATCAACAATTATGGAATATCTGAAGTCACAAATGTAAAACAAATCACTGTGGGAAAAAGCCAGTCTATGTCCAGCTTGATTATAAAGGTGAAAACATTGCAGTGATGATCAACAGAAGGCTGAGTACGTCACTAGCCATAGCCTATCCTGCAGCTAAGCTCGTTCCCGTCTATCGAACACCCTATTATTTGATGCAGTCAAAAATCGATAGATATCCTCTCCAACTGTATATACAAATTTACATGTATCTGTGGCAGCAGTTACATTGGAAGGACAGAAAGAAGGGCATATCTAAGGTTTTCTGAACATGTGCCAAAAAGCTTACATCTAAAGGGAACAAACGCTTTAAACAGTGCCATCGCCAGGCATCTCCTTGACACGGGTCATGAGGTGGACGTCGGAAAGTCGTTCAAAATTATCAATAGGAAAAAGAGCTCAATTCTCCTTAAGTTTGCTGAAGCCATTTCCATCAAGCGCCTGATTTATGCGTCCAGAAAGTAGCGGTTATCAGTCTTCTTTGCCCTGGTAACTGGATATTTTCACCTCTCTCTCTTCCGAAACCGAAATGCTAAAAGTTTCCATTGTATATGATTATTATGGTTCGAAAACGAACACAACTGAATAATACAATGCTGCTACGTATTTTACTTGGTCAGTAGAAAGCTTTCAGCATTAGTACTAAATAGATAACTTAAAATAAATTACATTCAAGAAAGATACCTGGATCTTCAAAATCAGCTTCGAACCGCAAGCCATTGACTTGAAGCAACTTGTCCTCCTGTATTTTCGCCTCCTCTTCTTTATCTTTTATTTCCTCTCGTGCCTCCCATCGGAAGCAACATAATCATCACTCTCTTCTTCCTCTTCATCTGTTTCAAAAATATCTTCAAAAATATCATCAAATGTAGTGGAACGGTATGTTTCTTCTTCGTCCTTCAGTCCTTTCTTTTCCTCTCCTTCCTCTTCTGAGGGTTTTGAGTATAATTCCTGGTCAGATTTCTCTTCTTCCGCCTCTTTAATCGTTATTTCTGGTATTGTTCTGGATTTGCCTAGTTTTTTCTTAGATTTTGCCATTACTTCACTTATTCCAGATATTTCTGCTGGTTTTTCATGTCTGATAGTCGGACTTTTCAAATGATCCTCTTTTTGTGGTTGTTTCGGTTTTGTAGTTGACTTTTTACTAACTTCCTGTACTACATGCTCTTCTTTTGGAACAGGCACTTCCTTTTTTTATTTAAAACAGTAAGATTGTAAAATCAAGTGAGTGTTGATAAAAATGAAAGAAAAATTTCAAACGAAAATAAAATTAAGTTTTTAGTCTACAAATCAGGTATAAATATTATTAACAAACTTACCCAGTCTTCTGGAAGTTACATACAACTGCTTTAATTATAATAAATAATAATTTCAATGATGGAATATAATTAGTATTGCCTATTTCTGAGACACGTCGCCGAGTTTATGTATCGTTTAAAAATATTTAAAAACAGAATTTAGTAGGTAAAAAACAACAACGAACAACTTGACCCTGTCATTCCTCATTAATGATTAATTCAAATATCATTATGTGAGTATTACATATCCTTTTTGTTTATTCCTTCGCGTTCCAAGTGGATATAGTGCTCCAAGCTAGATCTTTGAAGTTTCAGTAATAGTGGCATTTATTTCTACGAGATAGAGTTACTAGCTCCATACCCAATCTCCTCTTTTTATTAGTCCTACAACCAACTTAGAGAAATTTCAAAGTACCTCAGCCGGGGTTCGGACTCTGAACCACATGTGTGGTTGGCGAGCATCCTACAGCTGAACCAACGACACACCAGTAAATAACTGTAATATACGTTAATGGATTTTTAAAAAATGACACTTAGATGTGGACCCATTTACCATGAAGGCCATCGTGATCTGCTCTACACGAAAAGTGTTATTTGTTTCACTTATAAACGTCGAGGACGTTAACCTTACTTTAAAATACCCCTAAATATTATTTCAGCTTTACTCTTTCCACAGAAGTATTTGTGTGCATTCCTAGGTCACAAGAAAACTAAAGTTGAACACTCAACAGACATATATAACGAAATATATTTTCATTTAATTTTTGTTATTTGATAATTTTAAACAAAGAATTCTTTTTCATCATAAAAAGTATAATTTAATAGTGTAAGATAGCAGGAAATTTAACCAACTTAGATTCCCTATAATTTTGAATGTTTGGGTAAATTTCTCTCTGACGTCTTATCTGTTTATTAACAGTTGATATATTTTTTCTTTTGATTTAAAGTATATTTATCGGAATTCTCCTTACCCTTGTTCTTTGTCTGGTAATTTTTATCGACCTTATTCTCAGGAACACCATGTGTAATTTAATTTAAAAGCACTTTATTCCTATGAATATCATTAGTACCTTGTGTTTTCGCATCAGTTTTCACTTTGTCATTAAGAAAACGAGTTCGCCTTTCTTTATACTATTGAAGAATCTTCAGAAGATATATATATATATATATATATATATAGACTAGGGCAGTATCAGTCAAAGTGTTTTGTGCTAAATCTGTTCACACAGGGAACTGTTGATATGCGCAAGGAAAACACTGATTTGTTCAATCTCTTTCGCTACCAGGGCCTTAATTCCTTTAATGACCCACACAACAAAAAAGGTATGTAATTTATCCTCATTCACTTTGGCTTATTCCTCTTTTTTTTCAATCTTCTAAATTTAAAAATGTACTTCATACGTATTCTGATACTCTTACTTATATGGACAGTATTCCTGTTCATTAGCGTATTAGCTTTAATGAAAATCTCTTCTGAACGCTAATCATCACTTAATGTTTTTGGATTGCTTAACATTACTCAACGAAGTTTCACAATTCGTCCATTTTCTCTTCCTAATTTGTAGTTTCATATATTTATTTACCACGTGATATTATTGACTAATCCTTGTAGGTGCTTTCATGACCTTTCGGAACATCATGTATTTCTAAAGCTTTGAAGACACGCTACGAAAAGAATATTTTTTTCCATACATTACATACGTTAAATCTAGGTCTGTTTAGTGAAGAGTAGAAGACTGGCACTTATTCTTGGAAAAAACGAGATTTTTAATTGAAATCTAGACATATTTATTATCAGCTTAACAAATGTTAAGGACGCAAACTATTCAACAAATTTTATGTTTTATTGATATTGATTGATATAAGAATAAAACTTGTGCACTGTGGTAGAGTATAATTTCATTATGGGTAAAGTTTCGTTTTGATAAAGTCTCACAGTGTTATACAGTAATGTTTACTGATGACGTTTCGAGCACATTGCTCATAATCATATCAAGGTAACCACACGACTTCCTAACTTCTTTTATATAGTTCCATTGTTTTTCCCTTGATTTTCACTTGATTTGATTGGTAGTAGTATTTTCCATATTTCGGGTATGAGTGATGAATCATTCCTATTGCATGTGTTTGGTGTAGACTTGATGAACAAGGATTCAGTAATCAATCTCTCTCTCTCTCACCACCTACATAGATTACTTCTTAGAATTTTAACCCTATCACACCCTATTGTGTGGCTGTGTGTTAATGAATGCATTGCAATTGATGAGCTTTTTTCTAAATTACTTATCTTCTCAGGATCAACCATTCTAACCTTAGCTAAATTCTTATGTTCCGACAATCTGATTACCCCTGACCTACTGGTTTGACCTATGTAGTTGACCTCACTCACAGTCATTGCAAGGCAATTTGTAAATTATATTACTTCGTCTAATTGGGTCAACCGACAGGGTCATTTAACCTACAGAGCTTGTCCCTGAGTGAGTTTATGGGTTTGAATGCTACCCTAATTCTTGCTTTACTGAGAATCCGACGTAGGGTCTCAGATGTCCCTTCTTTATATGGTATAACTGCAGATGACTTATATTCTCTCTTATTTATGTTATTATTACTAGTTTCACGATTAATTTTCTTTTCTTTTAGCTGTTTTCAACCTGCTCAATGAATGTTAGAAGATAGTTATTCAACACCAACGCCTCTGCTATCTGTTTTATTTAATCATTTAGATCTTTTCTTGTACTATTCAGTGCTACTGCTCGGTTTGTTCAACAACTGACTAGGCCTCCCTCAACAGTTAACGGATGAGATAAATTAAAGTCGAAATATATATTAGCAGAATGCGCTGGCTTTTTTAAACGCTAGTTTGCAGTTAACGTTCTTTTATTCGTTTTATTTTACAATCTAACATCGCTAATTCTCCTAGTTCATTTTCTGATTCAAATGTGAATTTTATTCCCTCCACTAGTGAGTTTATGTGTGTCAAGAAGCTAGAGATATGTTCTGTTTTTAACACTGTGAAAGTGCCATCCACATATCTCCACCATATTTTTGGAGTAGGATTAAACGTGTTAAGAGCCATATTTTCCCAGCTATCCATAAATGTGTTATGTTTTCTTGTAGGACTACTCAGAAGAACTTGACCACAGTTATTTCACACTAGGTCTGTGGATTTCATTTGAAAGCTTATGGTATTATGTATCCATCACATCTTGCCCACACTTCACAGGTAAGTGATTTATAGACTTATTGGATTCAAGGCAAAGCTCATTTTTTCCGTGAAAACGCGAAGACAGATTAACTGGTGATCCAGTACAGATTTTACCATAGAATTACATTTATTTGTGGTTCTACATTCCATGAAAAAAACAAAAGTAGAAAAAATAAATGTGGTGAAACTGTATTACGGGATATTATATTAGCGCAATTTCTGAGGTTCTAGGATATCACAAAGGGAAAATATACCTGTACTAGAGTGAACGATTTTGACCTATACCACTACCAGTTTCCAGTCAATGATTTGTAATGACTAGACCAAATATACTGCATTTTTCTGTATAGGTCACACTGTCTCTAACTCTTTTCAACTAGGTCCTACTTCTGGTTGCAATGTTTATTTTCGACAGCAATGGTTTGGCATGTGAAGCACATAATCTGGCCATTTTTAAATCGTGGAAGCAAGCACCAAGCCATTGAATGAATGTTTCTCCTTACCTAACACTACAGCGGACCATATGACTTTTCATGTTGTTTCAAACTACTGAACCGAAATTCAAATTCACAATCTACAAATTAATTTTTAATTTATACAGTTCAAAGTGTAATTCCACCATAGATCATTTTGAGAACCGAAATTATACGGATGACAGTATTTGGTGTGGTTGGTGCCATATATGGTAATTAAGAAGGTGAGCATATTTACAGAAAAACTACATACTACTGATTGTTGATACTGGATGGTTGGAGGCGGTCGGCGGGAGGCCTTAGACCTGCTTCAAAACAAAGGACTGGACACACTACACTAGTTGCTGACTAGTGTCCAATCACAGTATCCAATACAGTCCTACTGGAGGTCAACCGCCACCCCGAATATCTCAGTGGCACCGTCTCTGATTGCTGCATTGCGTAACGTGGGTTCGAATCTCAAAAGGGACATGAGTTCCTTGGAGGTTTCAGATACGTCTTGCTGACTGACTGGTGAGTGCGAACTAGCACCAAACGTCGGTCGAAGCAGGTCTTCCTGCAAATAGCCTCCAACCATCTAGAAATATCAACAATTCAAAGTTCATGATGATGGTGAACCACCTAGAATGGTGGTCAAATTGAAAACTTCACTGATGGAATTCACTCTGGACCAAAGATAGGATTAGATACATTACACTAGTTACTGATTAGTATCCAATCAAAATACTACTGATTAACTGAGATAAGTAGTTGTATACGCCTCACATCAGCTAGTAGTGATTGTCAGCCAAATCGAAATAATCTAACCACTACCAGTTGATGTGTGTCTGTATGGTATACAACTACTCACCTCAGTCAATCAGTAATATAGAGTTCTACTGAACTAAAAGCATCTGCGTTCAGAAAAGAACAGACTTTAATTCATTCCGTCACACCTTATTTTAATTTTAAGCTAATAACTTTTCAAATTAAATACAACCAGATAGTATATTGTTTGACAACTCGTTTCTGTGATAAATGGATCGTCTGAATATCAAGAACTCAGCGAAAGTTTAATTTACCATAATAGATTCAGTCCCAGCAAAAACATAAGACTCTAATAAAAATCAATGAAAACTAATTAACTCACTTCTTTTTTCTCAGTAGTTACAAGTGATTTTCGGATACTTTTTCTTTCTTCACGTACATCTTTTTCACTTGGAATTGGTGTAGTAACAGGTGTTGTTTTTATTTTCACTTGTTTAATACGATCATGCACTAAGCGAGCAGGGATAGTTGGTAACTTTTTCTTTTGTGTATACTTGGTATCATCAACAGCTCCAGTAGACTTCTGAATAGTAGAAGGTTTAGCATCTGTGATACCTTGTGATTTACGTCTTTGTCGTTCAAGTGCATCTATGCTAGTTATAGATATGCGTGGTGGTGGTGATTTAGGTAAATTAACTGACTCCTCAATACACCTAGTCACTTTCTCATTGTCACACATTTTAACAGATTCAATTAATTCTTGAATATCTTTTATATGCAGAGCCTGACTTATTTTATTTTTTGCATCGTAACTGTCACAAATAGCTTCATTAATTATAGTAATGGCTTCTTCTTTGCTTAATCCTTCCTTTTTCAAATAATTTTGCAGTATATTTCTTGTTTCAGTGAATGAATGCAAAAATAATTCAAGACGTTGTTTATCACCAAGAAATTCTACAAACTGTGTTCTTACACTATGCATTACGCCTATAGTCGTTTTTGGATCTAATATTGTCTCAATATGCTCGATTAGTGTTCGTGGACCACCGAATAGATTAGTTAAATAATGAAATAACCATGTAGGACTAAGAATACTATTAATCATACCAACTCGAATATTTCTAGATCGAAAATATTTGTCAAGTGATTCAATACTCGATGCATCCTTTTTAACTGCTTCATAAAATAAATCCATAACTTTGTTTATTGAACCCCATTGTTCAGTCATTTCTTGTAAATACTTCTGAACTAAATCAACTGGCAAAGATCGAGTTCTTTCTTCTTCTTTTTTTCTTTCAATTGTCTTTTCAACACCTGGTCCAAAACGATCTATAGAATCTTCTTCTTTTTGTTGCGCCTCTTCACCTGGAGCATGTTCTTTATCTTGTTCAGATTCAGATAATGCTTGTTTTTCAGCTTCAATTCTTTCCAAGTTTTCTTGTACTTTAGCGAACGAAGAGTTTATGTGAATATAAAATAAAAATGGTAAAATGAGTTAAGATTTATTGTAAAATGACGGGTAAAAATGAGTATTCTAGTTTTATTCAACTAGTAGGTTGGATATTACAGTAGTTTCAATGTGTCTTAAACCTAGAACTGAGGTGTGAATCTATTGCTCACAGATTATATGTCTTTTGAAGTTTTTGTCTTACTCAAAGACTAGGAAATGGCTTTTATTCCCATTTTCTATTGTCTCCACAGTGGTGACTGAATAGTCAAGTGACAGTACTCTCAATCTTCACTAGTGATAGAGTATAGGTCGAAGTTGCTTGGAGTTCTGGTGAGAAGTCATGACAAATGGACTCCCCTAAGTTACATGTGAGGATAAATACTCCCCGATGACATTAGCTGTAGGTCATGCTAAAATTCCCTAGCTGGCAAAAGTTAGCAGTGATGGGTCACTGGGTCCCTTCTCATTTACCTTGTAACATGAATGTTCTATTTTCAGTCCACGGTGGAGTCATGAGTGAATAATGCTGAAAAGTTCAAAATTAGGATAAAAAAGCTGTCCAGTAATCCTCAGTTTTCAATGGTTCGCTTGCTGATATCGATCAGTGCGCAAACTGGACACGTTATGGTATTTATCAGTGCACTATGTGATATAATGTTATGGCAAAACATAAAGTCTTATCAAAGAAACTTAGCTTCATGTGGTCATTCTTGTAATAACAGAATGATAGTATATAATACTCATATTAAAGGTTTGATTTATACTTATGTCAGATGTTTTCTTCATTCAAAGCATATGGTTTATTTTCCATTCGTCTACCATGGTAGTGTTGGTTCTATTCATAACGGTACGCTTACAAGAAATAACTAGCTGGCTGTTTGTTGCTCCTTCGTCAGTAGTTAACTTTAAGATGTTTTAAGATACCTTCTATTTCCTAGTTGGTGAGATGTTTTCATTCTCGTGTGAATCTAGAACCAAGTGTTTTGTGGGACAAATGTAATGAATATGACTTATCCGACATTTCTTAAACTCACAGGAGAATTTAATCTGTACTCTGGATTTGTTTAGGTGGAACTAAGATATACAAAGGCACTAAATGAATTCAGTGAATCAGAATGAAACCAATATATTTGCAGTACAAAATCACACTGCTTTTATCTTCTGGTAAGTTTACCACAATATGAATGTTTAGTAATGTGGGATGCTACAAATATACATGTAGAGGGAGAGAGAGAGGGAGAGGGCTTAACGAAAGGCAACTACCAGAACCCTAATTCACACAGTATCTTTAGATAGGACATAGTTTAAATCCTTGTTCACATACTTTATCACCCAACAGGGTTCAGGATGAGCCCTTTGTTATATATCACTTGAACGTAATTAATTTGCATCTGTTGTTCTGTGACCAAGTTTGTGGTCATCTCAGTCCAGATATTACTTACCGACAAATCTAGCGGCATTTTTTATGCTTTCAGATTGATAATCCTCAAATTGCTAAAGTGTATACATTAGTCTGAGTAACCCACTTGATGGAAATATAGTCTCTAAATTAAGGTTGATCATTTAAATTAAATAATCTTCTCATTACGAGATGTTTCATTGATGAAAAAAGCATTAATTTTTACAGCTCAGCATCACATAAGTGTAACTGGAATCAAACGTATATTCTCATTCAAGTGAATTTCTAAATCTTGTTTATAAAACTGTAACATTTTAAACAGCCTTAAGAAGATTGTTTAAGACTACAAGTCAGTAATAGATACACCAATTGATCACATAAAACTTAAGTGTTTCTGTTATGCTTTTAGAATAATGATTGCCACATTTTCACAAATATCGACAGTAAACAATTTGTAAAGGTTATGAGATACATTCAGAATGACATTTTAGAATTTAATCTAAATGCATCTTAGTTCATCTGAGTTTCTTGTCTAGATCTTTCATATTTTGAAAATCTGTTCCATATTTTTTTTTAAATTTAGGTCCAAAACAACCTAGAATGCTTACTTTTCTTTTCAAAAAGTTGTTGAATTGTTTGCTTGGTAAGTTGTTTTGCAATCTGTTGCATTTTAGCTGTTTTTGCAATTCGTGCAGTTTCATCCTCTTCTAAAATATCTTCTTCATAAATATTAACACATGGCTGTTCTACTAAAGCTTCAACTTCTATCGTTGCACTAGTAACCAATTCAGCTCGTACTTTTTCGATTGCAAGAGGTAATTTATTCGACATGATAGCTTTTAGTAGACAAACATCTTTCAATGAGGCTATAGATGATAATGTTCCCATGATTTTTTCATCAGACTAATAAAAAAAGATTAAAAAAAGCATTTGCATGCTTGTTTAAGTACAGATAGATTGTATCAAAATATATAGCTTTCTGTCCGGAGTCAGTAAATGGTCTGAGTCAAATGGTCTTAAACTGAATCCTTCTAAATATCAAACTGTTAATTTCACCTTAAGATGTAAACGACAGTCAAAAAAGTCATCGACTCTCATGACAGTTATAAGATTGACGACAATGATATAGGAATTAAATCAGAAATCAAATATCTTGGACTTATTCTCTCTTCTGATCTCTCCTGGTCTTCCCACATCTTAGCAATCTCCAGTAAAATATTCGGCCTGACATTTTACATTAAGAAGTTAGGGCACTCGGGTATAACTCAACCCCTCCTCTTACAATTCATAAACTCTTGCATCCTACCTGTTCTTCTTTATTGTTCACCCTTATTCTTTCTGGTTGCTTAAAAAAGGGACTATGTCACAATTCGTGGAATGCTGAAGACTGTCAGTAAGATGAGTGGTGTCCCAGTGGATCACATAGTTAACGTCGTTGTCGATAGGCACTTGACTTCATGCAGTAAATTTGCTAAAGGGATTTTGTCTGACTTGGAGCATCCACTTTACCCTCAGCTTTCACCATGCATCTCCTCAGGTAGAAAAATAAGTAACTTCAGAAAACTGTATGCTCGCACGTCTAAGTATAGAAATTCTATGATACCATACTTGGCACCTGTTTTATGTGATGAAAATAGTGTCAGGCAAGAATTAAATTACGTTTTTTCATCTAGTAAATAAACAATTTCGTCCATCCATCCTTATATACCTTCAAGTTTTACTTTTATTATTTCTACTATATTTATGGTCATGTTGATTCTTTGTTTTACTCTCATAACTGCAAGCACCAACCTATCTCTATGACTGCTGTAATCTTTGTTTTTCTCCTCACCATATCATGTAAAGAGAACATTATATTCAATATTTTTAAACATGTTAGGATTTCTATACCGCATCGACAATTCTGTGTGAAACAAGCCCACGGCAATTTTCACTTGTATTATTATTATTACCTTAGCTGTTATCATTATTATTATTTCCATTTTATATGCTGCATGTTTTTGACACTACCTCGATTGTAAATGTGAAAAATTTTCTGTGTGATTAATTTTATCTATAATTTGAGGAAATTAGATGCAAGAATGTGATTAATGCTGAAAATTCTATTCTGTATCACAAGTACTGTTTTTGGAATAAAGTAAATCATTATTATCATTATTATTTATGTGGTACGTCTCTCTAAATTAAAGAGGTGGATATCTACAAATATAAATTTCTTCATGTAATTAAGAACACATTAGTCAGCAGAGAGATCTCTTTTTCTAACTTCACTTTAAATCTGTACAGTTATTTTGGCGTTTATATATGCAGTATAACTTGATGTTAGAGGTCAACGGTTATTGAAAGTTAGTGACAAGGCAAATAAAAGTGCATGAGTAATAAGTGTGTCTGAAAAACTAAGGATAGTATTGCGTAGTCATAAGAGTTGATAACTAATTAGCTGAATGATGAATAATCATTTAGAAATAGTTGATATGAGACAAGGGAACAAAAGATCAGAAAATGAGTTGCAAAAACATAAAACGGACTGCATAGAGCTTATTATACATTGATTCAGGAAGACGAAGAAGGAAGAGAAAAAAGAAAAAAATTAGTACTTGAACACAAACTCCAGGTTTCTTCTTAAGGATTACTAAGGTTTCAGCTACATGAAGAAAATATAGACGTAAGCCTTGGTCTCTGCTGACACTATATGACAAGAACTAACAATATGCTTCAGAAATAAGCTGTTCACTGCTCTACATTCTCCCTTTGATAACCATGCTGTTCATCGGCACGTCCTGTTGGTACAGCCTATGTACTTTACTCCACAGGAGCAGGTGAATCAGTAAATACATCTTGGATTCGTCAACAGTGAGATCCTGTTTTTGACGTTTTGGTGAATAAGAGCATATGTGCAGAAGCTGACGAGCAGCTATCTGTTCTAAGATATCGAATGAGTAGCATTAATCAGTTAACGTTTTTCCATCAGTTTTTCATTCTGAATGGGACATAAAGCTTTGAATTTTCAGTAATAGCAGTGAGTTTTACGGAGAAGGGTCTCTAGCTTCATGCTAAACTTCTTCTCTTTTCTGGGCTTACTACCAGCTAAACGATAATTGGGAGTGGGCCAGCCGGAAATCGAGCCATGACTATTTGTGTGACTGGTACGCATTCTATCTCTAAACCAGACATGCACAATCAGTTAACTAACAGTTCCACTCAGCTGGGGGGTGTTCTATAAGTTTGAGTAAATGTTTACAACTACTTCTTCATTAAGTTCATCAGATGATGATTTGATAAGATGACACAGTTTATGTCTTATGCGTACCAATCATCCCTGAAAATGTTCTCATCTCCCGTGTGTGTGATTAAATGGAAAATGTTTATCCTTTAGTTTAAAGGTTAATTTTCAGTCCATGTAGTTAGATTTAGTCTATGGAATGAATCATTTTACCTTAGACTCTAAATACAACTGTTATTTCATGCATTCCGAATCCATAAAGGTGAGATTCAGAATGATGATAATGACAAAAATTTGCTCAGTCAGAGTTGTATTGCAAAACCAAAGATGAAATCGTACTACTTCTGGGAGAAATACATAATCATCATAGGAAGATGTTGCTTCTAGATCGTATACATACGAAGCTTCACTGTTGATTCTTAGTCATTAAAGTGATCTATTTTTTCAATGCACACATAATATCATGCGAATTTTTTAAGTTTATTCATTCAGTCTTGTAATTTTTTATATTCTTCTTCGGTAACTTGATTTTGAGTAATCAATTCCATTGGTCTCATTGCACGTCTGCTCAAAGTTATACTTCGATTTGTCAGTCAGTCACTTTGTAGTTCCATATGAATATATCTTAGTAAAAGAAAGCGATAGTGATTTAGTAAAGTGGTTCATAGAATATACAACTTCCTATTATAGGCTTTTGGCTACAGCTGAGATAGGGCAGAACACCTACCAAACTTTGTTTGTAATTATCCTAAAGATTCTCACCTTTTACCCTAACCTGACTTGGTCGCTGCCTTAGTTATAAAAGTCAGGCTATATCTCTTCAAGCCCTCGGAAAGGCATTCCTTTGCACATCCTATGCCTTACAAGATGATAATTATCACCGCTTCAGTGGTGGTCTTGACCCAAAAAGCTCTAGACAAAGTTATTTATTATTTTCAATCGTTTAATTTCTTGAGAAGCTGCATCATTCCTAATTTTTTCTGTTGAGCCACCGAAAGTTGTGAACGATATCAGTGCAACTTTTACTCTCTGATTTCATCACATTTAAGTATAAATCAGTTCGTTTGTTAGTTAAGCTTCAGTCCTACTAACAATCACCCAGATAATTAATGGACCTAATATGCAGCATTGTATGGGATAATGAATACAATGGTAAACTAATTGCAATAAATATTAGTGAAATAAACACTGATTCATTTGTAAGGGGAAATTATAGTTATATATGTGCGGTGTTTTGAACAACATTTATTTCTTATTTCCTAATACTCAAATACTCTGATGAAAACAAGAGCTTTTGATTGAAATATTCTATTCAAAATTATCCTAAAATAAGAATTAACAGTTGATTGGCATACATTAAAGAGGAAATGTTAACGTGACAGCAGTTCGCTAATTATAATAGTATTAATAACATTACTAGTAATCTCATTTATCTATATTCTTTTGTAGAATTACACAATGAAAAAGGGTGGTTAGGGATTAGGTTGCTTATTAAGGAACGCATTATTTGCGGTCAACAGAATAAATACATTCCTACGCCTCATAATTTAACACATCTATTGGTCTCTGGAAAGCAGATTAATGCAAAGTAGACGCTCTTAACAACTATAATACATATATATACATAACAAAGTAAGTGCATTATGTGAAAAAATTATACTTTAGGTACATTATTTATGTACATACACATGAATTCACTTTAGAGATAATAATGAAATTCGTATAAAATGATACTCACCAAATATCTTTTAACCAACTGATGAAGATGAAATCTTTGAGATGCAGAATCAAATGACACACTTTCTGAACTCTTTATTAGTTAAAGTGTAAAAATGACAAAATAAAAGAAAGAAATTTCGATTACTTTTTAAATCATGTATAAGATTATTTAATGCAATTTAGATTTTCCCATCGATTGTTTGAATCAAAGTGCTCGGTCTCAGGTTGACATGTCAGCTCCTAGTGCAGATGCTTCAACGATATCTGGTCATACAACTTAAAGTCAGTTGGTTGATGGTGACTAGCAGTGGAATCCAAAATGCGCATTTCATCCTATTTGAGACTCGTCAGATAGGTGTACCTGCATTTATCAGTGAGTAATGGTGTTCCCACTGAGGCTTGAACCCAGTACCCATAGTTTCAAACGCCAAATCGTTATTCACTACACCATTTGGGCACCATTATAGACAACCAGAGTTACAGGTGATCATTATAATAAGTTACACAAAGTCATAATGACAAACATTATGGATAAATGTGATAAAAATTTTTCTAGGTAATTCCATTGGTTCTGCTGAATAGACAACTTTGTGTTATTCTCAATGGTTTTTAATTAAATCCATTCCCACTGGTCTGAACAAGTGGACATCAGAAAATAGTGGAGATGTGTTTTTGAAGCCTTATGTTCCACTGAGAACCCAAGGAAATAATAATAATATCAACTTTGTCTACTTTCTTATTATTATCAATCATCCTGTAAATAATCGTTATTTAATGCGTGAAATTAACTTAGAATCAGTTCCATATCTCTTTGTTTATTAGATATATCACATATTGGAAGACTATTAATCACATGGCCGTGTAAGGGCTTATGGGGAATTGTCATCTGAATTGACAACAACCAGTGGTGTCCGGCAGGGATGTCGGCTTTCTCCATTTCTGTTTAACTTCATCATAGATATGCTAATGGAAGTATCCTTAACTGAACTTAACGACTTAGGAATCGACTTGTTACCGGGATATAGTCTTAGACTTAGAATATGCAGATGACATAGCCTGTTAGGGAAGGATGCTGACAAAATGTAAGGTCTTCTGAACACCTTGAGCAGCACTCTTCGTATGTTTGGAATGCGATTCGCCCCTACAAAATGTAAGATGCTGCTACAGGACTGGACCACGTCAACTCCTAACTTAGTGATAGGGAGTGAAGTGATAGAACATGTTGACCACTTCACCTATTTGGGAAGTTGTATTAGCACCAACGGACTGATTGGCGACGAAATCTCAGCACGGATCCAAAAAGCTCGAGCTGCTTTCGCTGACTTACACCATCTCTGGCGTAGGCGTGACATCCGGCTATCAACCAAGGGACGTGTGTACTGCTCAGCAGTTCGCTCCGTCCTTCTCTATGGCTCTGAAACATGGCCAATACGAGTTGAAGACATGAAAAGGTTGACTGCTTTCGATCATAGATGTCTACGATCTCTTTCTCACGTTAGGTGGTTTAATAAGGTAAGTAATGTTGACGTTAGGCGTAGAGTGTTGGGCAAAGAGGGAAAATCAATTGACGAGGCTATAAAGTTACACAGATTGAGATGGCTAGGTCAGGTGCTGCGCATGCCTAACCATCGCCTCCCCCGACGGGCATTACTAGGTGATATAGGTTCAGGTTGGAAAAGAGTAAGTGGTGGCCAAACAAAAACATGACATCAATCCATGAAATTCTTGACAGTTAAACTGAGCCAGGCAGGGAGATGCAGACTTCCGGGTTGGGGCCCTCGGGACTGACTCTAGGAATCAATGGCTGGAAACAATAGGTGACATGGCTCAAAATCGTTGTCGACGGCGCAGATGTATTCAGTCTCTGTAATCTTTCATAGTCCTTTCTACCATTACCCATTCTGTTTCACTCTTATACTTGTCAAACTCTATTGATTCTCTTCACTCATCTTCTTGTCTACCTCTGTGTGCTATTTGGAACGTGGCAACTCGAACTGGTGCACTTCGGTGCCAAGTTCTATGTTGAATCCAGACAAACAGACAGATTAATAATTATATGCTGTTTCAAACTAAACTTGTTCATAATCCATCCGCTAAACTGAAACTTTGTTTTCACACTTCTAAAGAAAAGAATTAGGACTACAAGAACCAAGGTTCAGAATTCGATGCCTCTTTGGAACGTCATCAAGTAATTACTGTCGTTTCAATGTGTGACATATTTAATAAACATAGAAGTGTAGAATTTCAAGATACCACAACGCTCAAGTTTTACATTTACATCAAAGCCGAACTATTTTAGCACAGTTTACCAGCTGACAGCGAAATATCATATTTTTCTTTATTTTTACTAGAATTTCTTTGGAATTAAAAACAGCGTTTACACTTTCAATTTCTGCCTATATATTCCTAACATCGTAAACATCGTAAGCAGCTTAAGTTTCAACAATTTATGAATGGAATATATTAAGCATTCAAATGTGTGTATATGACAAATAGATAAATCTAGAAGTTAACCTAAAAGTTCATCAATTCAGGTTGTCAAACTTGTGAAAAGACAAAAAAAATTATTTAAGCAATAATATTATAGACGAAAGACGAGAATAGAGATCAGATTATAAATGTTTATGTTATAAACGAATGAACTTACAGGCTTAATTTGCTTTGCAGGTTTTAAATGAAGACGAACTTTTGAATTTGGTATATAACCTGATTCGAAAAAAGTGTTTAAATATTTTATGCTTACATGGTAATCAGCGTAAATACAAAAACAATGCATATCAAAAGAATTCAGTAATGAAATCAGAAAACTCTGTCAGTGATTTGCTTCAATACGAAAATCTTTCAAAAATCAACTCTTAGTGTCAGTTTACAGCATTAGTAGGTATTCTCATAGTCCCAGATAATAAAACCAAACTCTAATATGCAAAAATGTGAATAACTAATTGTTTTGATAACAGGAATACAATTAGTATGAGCAATTAGAGGAAAACCTACATACTTAATTTGATAGATCGCCAAGACTCCTTGGACCCAGGTTTCGTGCTAGTTGGCACTCACCAATCAGCAAGGCGTATCTGAAACCTTCAAGGAACTCAAGTCTGCACCGAATAAAGGACAAGACACATTACACTAGTTACTAACTAGTGTTCAATCGAAAATATCCAATACCGTCCTATAGGAGGTCAGTCGCTAGCCCGAATAGTTCAGTGGTAATGTCTCTGACTGCAGCACTGCGTGAGGTGGGTTCGGATCTCAGTAGGGACATGAGTTCCTTCGAGGTTGCAGATACGTCTTGCTGACTGACTGGTGAGTGCCGACTAGCACGAAATGTGGGTCGAGGTTGGGCTTCATGCCAATGGCCTCCAACCAGCTAAGAACATCAACAATTCAAAGTACAAGGTGATGGCCAGCCACCTAGAATGGTTATTCTTAGTATTTTTTTACCGACTCTGATGATTATACATCAGCTTATCCAATCGCCCCTATTTTAGTACATTAATACATGTTTTTAGTGTGGTCATTAATAATGCAAATATCCTATAGGAACCCTGAAGGTATCTGTTTAGAAAATTCTTGTTCTACAGATGGTCAGACTAAGTGACATAGAATCCAATCCACGCTAAATGATGAATTTCCTGAGAAAAATAAGAGAACCATAAAGACAAACTCAATGGTATACAATGACGAGTACATGCAACTCAGGTTGGTTTATGCACTAAGCTAAGAACTAAAATTGTTGCATAACAGTTTTTCTTAGTAATTAATAGGCTTAAAGTTAGTGAGTTGTTTAATCAACAAATCGCATATCAGTTAAAAGTGAAACTGATAAAAATTCACAATTCACAGTAATATTTTTAGCAAAATTCGATTAATGTTGGGTTAGGTGAAATGAAAACGACGTCCTTAGCTAGGTACCACTGCTCAGTCTGCAGAAGCCACTGGTTCTACCCAAATGTTCACTTTACTCAATAAAGTCAAAAGGATTTTAATATCCTTATAATACTGTATTTTAAAAGCTTGTTATATTTAAATGCGCGAATCTATGATCATCTAAAAACCTAATCACTAACCTTGACATGAAGCAGAAAACTAGTTAGACAAGTTTCAGCGTTTATCAGTAATTATTAGTGCCCGTGTACATTTCAAAACCAGCTAACTTCTCAGTGGAAAGCATTAAAAATCCAGGAGCACTAGAAAGCCAATTCTTCTTCTATAGCATGGATCTATAGTATAATCAGGAATTAAATGTGGAACTTCCAGGTTATAAGGAAAACTACATTGAAATTCAGCCACTGGCTTAGAATTGAGCCTTCCGTTTATTGCAGATTTTGCCAGTGCCATCCAACATTGTGCATGTATTTATATTTCCATTAGCCTTCTCACTTTAAATAAATTCAACAAATGTTTAACGAATACAGCTATCTTTTATTCCTTAACGTCGATCAATAGTTTACCCACATCTTCATTTCTTTTGGCTAGCTCAAGCATTAGTAAACACTGGGCTGTCAATTGTAACCGGTTTTCAGAAGTCAGAACATTCATTGGAAGACTTTCAGAATAGTGGAGAACATCTCAAGGACATCTGTCTCAGAGGGCAGTCCTGTTCAGAGAACTGAAGGTAATCCTACCATGAAATACAAGTATATTTGGTTGGGAATAGATATGCTATTGTTGTAGAGATTGGCAAACAGTATGCTTCATCACCCTTCAGAAAACAGTTTTGTCTAATTTCAAATCATATTTCGTTGGTTTCAATGTAATTTTATCTTCATATCATTTCTCTTTTTGAACTTTTATTAAGTATGAGAATTTGAACTGGTACACTTTGTTTACTAAGTCCTACTTTTTTATCTTTTTCTGACATCCTCACTAACCTATGTGGTTCATTTCGGAAATAAGTACTTCTAAGAAACTTTTACCCAATCTGACTAAAGTGAGTATCATTTCTAGAAATTCGTTCCCTTTAACTATGTTAAGGGGTATGTTTAACATTTAGAAGTCTAGACATAATTTTATAATATGTAAAACTTGAATGAAGATCCTCTGATTCACTTTGTATGTTGTTCACCTTCCAGTGAGAAGTGATTAACACCCATGCTTCCGGTATTTATCATGAAGACTAGTGTTTTGGAACGATCATAAAATAATACAAAAATCTTTTGATTTGACATTAGTAACTAGTGTGATGTGTCTAGTCCTCTCTTTGGTGCAGACTAAATTCTATCAGTCAGGTTTTAATGTGGCCCTCCATTTTAGATAGCTCGCCATCACAGTGCACATTGATTTGATGATATTAGATGGTTGGAGGTAATCGGTGGTAACGTCTCTGACAGCAGCACTCACTGGGTGACGCGGGTTCAAATCTCAGAAAGGACATGAGTTCCTTCAAGGTTGCAGATACGCCTTGCTGACGAGTGCCAACTAACACGAAACCTAGGTCCAAGGCTTCCTGCCGATTACCTCCAACTATCTAATAGCATCAAATACAAAAATCTGTCAGAAATCATTTACACCTACAATGGGGACTGGCTAGTTTCTCTTTAATACTATTTTATGACACTGAGTGAACTCTCTTAACCTCTAGGTTTAAATACATTGATGACCTTAATTAAATAAGCGAGTTTAAAGATGACTATCACACAGGTTATTGATTACTTTCATTTCTAATTTATCGTTTTTTGGAAATATTACACTTTACTGTTTAAATATTATCATAAGTACAAGCTAATGGTTTTTTTTTAATTTTATGGTATTTCACTAGTGAATAAACAAATTTCCTTCTAATGTGTTAACATATATGAAATAAAATTCTAAGAGAAAATAACTCACCGTCAGGTGCAATTACCGTAGTTGGCATATCTTTTCTTGATTTATACATATCTTTCATAATAATTAAACTATTTTCTGGATGAATTGTAATAGGTAATGAAGTATAACAATGGCTAAATGCTTCTAAAAGTTCTTGATAGTTAATATTTATTCGAAAGTCTGGAGGTAAGCTTGCTGAACGTGAATTCCTGAAAAATGACAATGTGCTTCTTCTTTTCATATGACTTATTGATAAAGAACGTGGCACTGGATGAATATGATACGATTCTGGGCTACTACCAAGATCCATTTTGTATACTTCACCCACACAAATTTTAAGTCTTTATGCAGAAATGTTTATAAAGTGTCAGTAAATGGCATACGACAACAACACCAACTTCATAGATCACTAATAATTCAAATTATGCTCATTATTTAATCGATCGTAGATTGTGTAAACTTATAAGTTATTTAACAAGTATAAGACAGACTGCTATATATCATATTATCTATCGTACTATTGTATCTTTTGGTAACTAAACTGTTTTACGATTTCCCACTTAATTATTAACACAACTTATATCCCATTTGACGGAATTACTTAAACTAATCTATGAATTCATCGAAACACTAATTAAGACAGCTTTGTGAAGTCTGTCTCATGAAGAAAATCTATGATAATTTGTGTTATCTTTTTCACTATATAAAATGACAAAATTCAGGAAACTGGTATTCAAGTGACTCGCAAACAATAAGTTTTGATCTCTGCGCATAGACTATATGGCTAAGCGGATGGATACGCTGATCATGAAAGTCTTATCCTTTGGATAAATATGCTTAACACTCGCCATAGGGCTAAAGTGATATTAATACAGGAAATATGGAAGTTATGTGAGTTACTTTACATCACTACGAGCAATAAATCATCCCCTGGAGGTCATCAGTAAATAAATAATGCTGTATCACTGTGTGTTACACCACACCAAGTTTTCTTCAAAATTATTATTCATTTTTCCACAAGCCTTCGTTGCTAAAAGCAATTTTGAATACTTCACAGTTGACTTCTCGTTAGCAATGATGATACCTTTGTCTGTATCAGCTATTATTCCCAAAATCTATGGCTACATGTGATCGAGTACTAAACACCAAGACCAAATGAATACTGACTCTACATTTCTTCTAAGAAAACCATTTTGTTCTGGTCTGGAATGTTCAAAATTGGCATATAACTGCTGCTTTTCTCAGCTTCATATCGGTAATATAAAGAGACATTCAAGTATTGGATTGTAGGGATTTGATAGACTGGTTACAGGATTTTATCATGAGCTGACATCGGTTGGATTGTGGTGGTGTGATACAGACTATGTCTGCCAACGGAATATTACGCTCACATATTCCCACAGTTCAATACTGCATACAATATATCTATTTGAACATTCGATTTGATGTTAGAGACACAATACATTTCCCACAGTTGTATACTGCATTAATTAAAGAATACTATTTACATTTGAACATTCTATTTCATGTTGTTTGATGCAAACCAAAATCACAAGCTTGGTGATTGGTTAACGAATGTAAAATGTAGATATGTATAAGCAGCGGTTTGATTAATGAAAATATACCTTGACTCCAGTGTCTTGCCTTCTATTGTTACAAGATAATCATTGGAAAACCGGTAATGAGTACTGGACAGCTGTTTCATCTGGCGAAGTTTAAGAATAGGGTCCCAAAACCTTCAACGCTCAAATGACCTTGAACGCACGCTAGTCGTTGGCTAACGGTTCCTGTCATTATCATAGCTGAAATATCAACCCTATTCATCAAATAAGGAGCAAGTTTCACCCAGATAACACTTTTATTACTGTTTGGACAATGTGTTAACATCTCGTTAGGGTTAGGATAGGGGTTAAGGCGAGTATTGTGGTTAGGGTTAGGGTTATTGTTAGGTTTAGGGTTAGGGTTAGGGTTTAGGGTTATGGTTAGGGTTAGGGTTTAGGGTTAGGGTTAGGGTTAGGGTTAGGGTTAGGGTTAGGGTAGCGATTAGGAATAGATTTTTCGTTTATTTCAAGTTCTTTTGTTATCCTTATTTCCCTTGTATGTAGTCGCCAATGCTCTTACTGGAACCATAGTAACTAAACCGAGGGCTTAGGAGAGGACTACACAGCAAGAGAAGAGAGATGAACCATTCCCAAAACAACACACCTTCAGTCTCTTTGGTGAATACATCTACAGAAACTAGTCCAAATTAGCAACTGATACTCTTCATCGCAACTGGAACGTATTTTTAAGTCATATCAGAGAAATATAATCCGTTTAATGTTTTTTTCATGCATTTTTGTGTAAATATACGTTAAATTTTATGCAAAATTCCTCCTATTTTCTGATTTGTCGGCTCAAGGTCATTGTGCGTTCGCATCTCTTGGGACTCCATTCTTAAACTTTGCCTTTCATCTGTCCTAGTTTGGAACTCTTCAGGAGCACGCAAGCACCTCCAGGGTTCGACACACAGGACGTTCTGGTTACAAGGTCCATGAGCTCGACGAACCATCATTACTCCCAAAGGAGTGTTTTATTTTTTGGTCTAAGGTCATCCACCGCCATAAACTGGGAAACAGCAACTCAACAGTACCAGTGAGCTAAGAATACAGTTGTGCTATTTAAAACAATCTAAAATAAAGTTCGGTTCATACTTATAAATGAATGAAATTTTTTGTTCACTACATGTATTATTAAACTGGCGCATTATTCAAATACCGTACAAGACTTCTTAAATATGTGATGTTAAATATTTCATTTAAAACAAAAATTATCTCATGATTCGTCTAGAAAACAAATTGTAAACTCAAGTATTGGTCTGCAGGGATCAACTAGAGGGACTCTTTATTAGTCCTAAACTAGGACAAAACAGCTGTCTAGCACTTCCACGTTTTCCAAGGGTTCTCTAACCGATGTCACTTCATGATGAAATCCTGTAATCAATGAAGAGACATTTTAAATAGCTTATGTCTTTAGAGTATTATGAGTAATTTGGTTTTATTGCTGTTGCTAAGATTTAAACTATATTATTCAGTGAGATTTCGAAATACAGACTAAAAGAATCTTGCTGAAAGCTGTACACAGTGAGCACGAAAAAGAATAGGAGAGCAGATAGGTTGGAGGTAACTTGTTTCCACCGACTAGTACAAGAACAGTTAGTCTGCAGTAAATAGTATGTATATTAAGTTCGTTTGTGAGAAGATAAACTGGAATGATATATTGAGATCCATAAGGTGAAATAAAGTTCTGACTGACGTGGGTAAGTGGAAACCACTCATGTTCATCAAAGGATCTTAACACTACCATTTTCATGTTATATATGCATTTAGTCCGCTTAAGAACAGGCGAACGGCTTCAGGTTTCAGTTTGCCATTTCAGTGAAGAGTAGATGATTCAGTCTGTGAATACAGGACATTCATTATAGGTTCACGCATAAGCTCTGAGCAGATTAATCAGCTAGTGATTAAGAGAACAGTTTATTGTTTATTGTAAGTTGTTGCTGCGTTTGGTTTTACGAATATCATGTATGATGAATGTAAGAAATCTAGCAGCTTCACACATCTGAAGTACCGTATAAACTTTTATTGTTATCTTCGCAAGTTTCCCATGTTATTTGTCACTTTTTAAGCAATACATGATATTTCTTGACTGAAATTATGAGCATACTGATACATTATGTCAAAATTCATAGTTTTCGATTTTTAGAATCAAAAAGACTGTTGAACCCCATACATGAAACATCTGGCTGGGACTCGAACCTAGTCTACGGTTTAAGTTATTTTTGTTCACTCAGAGATGATCGACGATATTTAGAATTTTACCACCAGTCAACTATATCAGAGTAATCCTTGTGGTATGTTCATGAAGTTGTCTGTAAGCTTAAAACATGTAAACACCAGCGAAGTAATGAATTAATTAATGGATTATTAAGATGACTCCATTTTTGTTTCTGACTGTCAGCAATGATCAGCTGAAAGAGTTGAACCTAAGTTTCTTACCTATTGGAAAACCCTAGTAAGGCGTGTCTATAGACTTAGTAAAACAGGCATCCCCCTAGAATTTATAACCCCAGTAAGTAAGTGTAAGAGTCGGACCACTCTAACAGCAATGATTTGGATCTCCATAGATTCTATATACTGTAATTCGTATGATGACGCATACAATACAATAAAATGAATGCTTATTAGACAGCGAAAATCAGACTGCCAGAAAGTTAAGTGGTAATTTAAATTTGATTATTAAAGAAGTTTTTTATTATCCCTTTACGTTCCTAATGGAACACTGGGCTTCAAGCTAGAGGTTTGAAGTTTCGGTAGCAGCGGTATTTATTTTTGCGGGATGCGGCTGCTAGCCTGATGCCCAAGGTAAATGAGTGCGTCAGCAGGGCCTAAACCCGGGACCAAATGCGTGGTTGGTGAAAATACTACCACAGTGTCACTAACGCACTATAAAGAAGCTAGAAGTGATATATTAAATCTTGCAACAACAATAGGATTATGGTCAGTCAGATGACCTGTCATCATATGGTAACCACTTAATGAATGCAATATTTTATACTTATTATGGACATATCATTTAAAGGTGATAATACAATCAAACCACTTGTTTTTGAAGTAGAAGACATTGAGTCATACTCCAAACAAAAGGTGCTATTGTAATGGCAGGAGACAAGGGCCAAGCAACAGATTATTTATTGAGAAGATCGAAAGGTATTTATAGATTTTTATGTACATTATTGTTAGCGGAGAAGTAATCCCTTCTGATTGGTTGTTTTCTTGCTGAAGGTTATTTTGTCATCTTTTTGTAGCCGTTTCTCTGAAAATCAAGTCATGTATCTGTGATTATTCATATTTCCACACTTTAACTCCCCTGTGATTGGCTAGTGATTTTCTCAAGGTTAAGCTTTGTTATTGTTTTTCTCATGAACCTGATTGGGGACGTGAACACTGACGTAAACTGTTGTCCACAATTTTGGCTTGCAGGCAGCTCTCACTACACTATAATGCCACCACTTGCAATTTCTGAAAACTTAGGCTATCCAAAGTTGTTCGCAGATTTCTGTGTTAACCCTAAATTTGTATAAGAGAAAAAAGGCTTTACAGATAAACAAACTAACTTTGAAATTTGACTTCCTAAATAATGCATTTACACCGACTGGTAAACATTGTCGATGCCTCGTGGTTATTATTCCATCGACTGACTAAATGTTGACCAAATCTCAATTGTCATTATAAACCGTTTGTATTCTTTCTGACGATTTATGGCAGCATA